GGTCAATCGCAAGAACTGCCCTAGCATGTTGTGTGCTGCCCTTTTTGGTGAGCACCATCCATCCGTGACTCATAAGTGGGCTTGGGCCCTTGATGACGGCTTCCTGGAAGGGGCTGGCAATGCCCTTGGTTTTCAGCTTGTGCCACCACTTGCATTTGACCATCACCTTCATGTTGTAGTTGAGACATGGTGGACTGGCAAGTCCTACCCTGGCAAGTTGGGCATTCATACGCTCCCATGCCACATGACGACCAACCGATGGCCACTCTGTAGTTGGGGCCTCTGAGGTCCTCAAGGTAAGTCGTAGTCGACGCTTCCATTGATGAATCTCAGCTTCAATACGGCCGTTGGAGGGTGGGTCGTCCCCAGACGTTGAAGTTTGCCAAAGGCCCTTCTGAGCTGCCCATTGGCGAACTGGTGCACTGATCAGTTCCTTGGCACGATCCGAGTGCAGTCGATAGATCGGGATTCCCAGGCTCCGATAACGAGCGTAGACCCGATGCAAGGCTTCTAACACATCCCTCGTAGCCCGTGACGAAAGTGGTTCAACCACTGTGATATTCTGGATGTCGATGGGGTTGGTGGCGATGTCCCTCTGTCTTTTCCACTCTTCATTCAAACGGTCCATGACTGCTTGATCGCGGCCATGACCAGAAGCATCGACAGCATCTCCTTCATGTTGAGGATCTGGACCATCGCGTTCACGAAGTTCAGGAAGAGGTTGAAGAGGATCTGAAGGTAGAGGTAGATCTCCATCATGGTCGCCAGCACCTCCATCACGTTGACAATCTTCAGGATGTAGGCCATCATCAGCAGCCTCAGTCTCACTACGTGGCGAGGTTTTTGGATCTGCCAATCGCGATCCAACCGGCACAGGTATCGTAGCCACCAGTGCATATTTGGCCTCTTTGGCCATACCATAGTCCCATCCCTTGACGAAGGGGCCCGCGACATCCACTGCCAAGACATAGACAGCATCACCAGCTCCACGGTGTTTTCTGCGACGGTGAGGAACATCTTGACCCATTTCTTCGACGCAGATTCGACAATCTCGCCTAAAAGGCACATGGTTCTGCCGCACATGTTGACGCCAGTCGTCAAGGCTCATCTTTTTCACTTGAGCTTCCTGGTCTATTTTTTCCAAGAATCCTCGAAGAGCCAACTTGATGACTTGAACTAGGCCCGGGGACCATTCGGCCCAGGTAGCAGTCTGACGAAGACGGTCAGGAAGATCCGGTTGTAGAGATTCATGTCCCCCTCCAGATAGACCGTCCAGCTCGTTGAGAGCATGAAGAGATGTCATCAGTGTCGTTGGCTTTCGGCGTGAGTGGCCTGTTCGGCCCTGATCAAACTTCACCACGTTCAATTGGTGTCGACGGGCAAACTCCCGAATCTCTTCCCATTCCCATACTGACGGCATCATCGAGGCATCATCGCCAAGATAATCCTGAGGGTCAGCAGGGTGCTCCATCAAGAAAGCACGTTCTTCATGCGGTTGGGCCACTTCCACTGCTCGGTCAAACAGACCAAGCATCTTGAGTATCAGAGCACTGTCATCCGTGACAGTCTGAAGTTCCCATTGGTTCAGATCTGGCAGCGCCCAGCGTTGTGGACCTCTAGCACGTAGTGGTCGAGGTCCTGGTCTTTGATGACGAAGACGAGAAAAACTTCTGCAGGGAGGTCCACCCAAAATGGCAAGCAACCTGTTGCGGGACGCCAGGTCCCACAAATAGGACCAGATCGTGGCGTTGTGAAGGTTCTCCGCGGCATTGGTGGAGATGTCAAGCGTGATGACTTCATAGCCATTCTTCCGCAACTCCTCCCACTTTTTGGACATCGCCGCACCACCTGAAAACAGGTGTAGAATCACTCCCTTCGAGGCCTCAATCTGTCGGCGTCTCCTTCTATTCCATGGTACGGGTGGACCACTGCACTCGGACCAGTGTTTCCCTTGACCTTTCATTCTTTGGAGAACTTCATCAGGGACCTGCGGAAAGTACCTTCGCCACCATTCTTCTACATCTTTTTCTACCCCCAACCCATTCTCGGTCTCGACCTTTTCCAGCTCCTCCAGGAGCAGTAGGGCTTCATCTTCTTTCATGACAGGGCATCCTTGACGACGCCAGCACTGAAGGTTTCCCTTGACAGGGTGAGCGATCACACACTCATTTGACGACCACTTCACCTGGTAGCCGTTCTCGACCAAGAGGCGCATGGGTAAGATCACCTCGATGGGTTCCTTGGAGAGCAGGGTGCTGCATCCATCATGACGATACAGCGTAGTTCGGCCATGTGCAAGTTCTACAGATACTGGCTGAGCATCACGTAGCTCCGCTGCTGAACCTTGACGTAGAGCATGTGTTGCCCCTCCATCAAGGAGGGCAACCTTGCAGTCCAGTGGGGGCTCGTTCGAACCACCAGCATCCAAGAATCGAAGCTGCACAGCCTTCAGGCTCTGAAGCGACTTCATCAGGCTCGTCACATCGATGACCGGAGTTGATGGGACCACTGGGATCTCCTCCACACCCTTGGACACCGGCTTCTCCTCCGTGGATCCGGTAGAGGATGAGGACGTTGGCTGCACAACCTGGGCATCCTTTCCTGAGGTCTGTTTCTTTCCTCCAGGGGCAACCTTCGTTGTGCCAGCATTGACCTTTGAGATCCTTCCTTTCTGATCACCATCCCTTTCTTGAGTTTTGTAAGGGCAATTGGGTTTCATGTGACCCTCCCCTGAACAAAAGTAACATCTTCCACTACGTTGGATTCCTTCCCATGAGTGTTGATATGCACATTTATCTCCCCTCTTACAACCAACCGAGCTACCCCAAAACTTACATTTTGGTTTTTCGCCAGTAGCACCTGTGGTAGCGGAGCTTTTTCCACCAGTCCTGAGCGATGCCGTCTTGGGAACCTCCTTCTTCTTCACGTCAGAGCTTGAAGACGTCGATGACAATGTCGTTGATGGCCGTGACAAAGCAACCTGCTCGATCTCAGCTTGGAGGGCCTCCGCAAAGTACATCACCTGGTCAGCATCCGGACGGTTGTCCAACTTGAGATCTTGACGTAGCGTGGCCACTCGAAACGCAGTTTGAGCCCCACCGAGTCGACTGATGTGCTCTGCCCACTTGGTCAGCACGCCCACAATCACCAAAGTATCAGGCAAGGTGACCTTGAGCTCGTTCGCCCTGTTGACATTTCTTCTCCACATCCTCAAGGTGTTGAGAGCCTCCTGTACTGACGGGTTGACTCCAAGACGATCCTCAGTGATGTCCTTCAAGAGCACAGTCCGCTCCTGTGGACCTCCAGGCTGGTACGTGATCAGCAGCTTGTAGATGATCTCGACCGTTGACAATCGCCGAGAAGCAATGAGATCACGTCGAACTCCTTCGGGAAGACAAGCTAGAAGCATGGTCACAGCTCGTTGTTCAGTGCGTGGCCACTTGGATGCCTCAGCAGGCACCGGTGGACGTAACCTCAGTCGGTCCAAAGGTCCTGACAAGATCCATTGGCGGTACCCATCCTGAGCAGCACCTACGATCAACTGCCACCAAACTCCTGAAGTGGAGCTAAGGTCAGACATGATTGGGTCGATTACAGCCAACCAATCCCCTAGAGACAACGCTGTTGTGTTTTCACTCAAGCGAGGCAGTTCCAAAACCCTAAGGCTTTCTGCAAACGACTCCCCAACTTGAGCCGCAGCGGTCCCCGGAGGGTGCTGAGCTCCATCAACCCTCAACCCTGACGACAAGCTTCCTGCACCAACTGGCATTCCCATATCACCATGGATCCCAGGTGGATCGAACTGTGACCCACATGGCGTGTGTCCAAACCCCAAAACGTTCTTCACGCTAGCCGTTGGGGGATTTCCCAAAACTGAGGTGGTTTGAGGTAACCCTGGTGGAGTAGAGATATTGGGCTGTTGCATCCCCTCATCATTCCTACTCCCCCCTTGAGGTGTCCCATACGAACCACTACCCCCAGCCGACGCCTTACGCCTAGCTATTTCTTGTTGGATCTGGTTTTCAACATTTTTCAACGCCTGGGCCTGCAGGGCTTCCAGTTCCAAGAGATCTCGATGAGTCAACCCATCCGGCAACACCACAGAAGCTCGTGCTCCTTCACCAGGACCAGCTCCATGTTGATGTGGTAACCCTCCAGCACGTTGAGCTGCTTCAGAGGGTCGAGCTGTTTCAGACGGTTGAGCTGGCTGACCAGCCCCATTTTGACCAGTTTGAACCCCACCTTCAACCTCACGCCTTACCTTTTCACTCCAAAACGCATTGGTTTCTGGTGGACGTGGTGGTGTGATCAAACCCTCCGGTCCTTCTACTCGTTGTACACCAGGATCTTGTAGAGCAAGTTCAGAACGTTGACGATGTCCTCCAAGTGGTTGAAGAGCAACAGGTTGACCTTGAGGTGGTAGATCAAGAGGTCGTAGAACAAGATCTTCAGGAGGTAGAGCTAAAGGGCCCAACAGGCTTCCACCACATCCTCCGGTTCTTTGATCGTCTCGTTCACCACCTACCTCACCTTGTACCCCAGGCCGACAATCAAGTTGACCCCCACCAGGTGCTCGAACAGTTCCGGCTCCATCTTGATGTCCCGCTAGTACAGGTACATCACCAAGTCGCAGCGGCGGCGGCAAGAACTCAGGTCGCCTCACCCCATCCGCTATTTGTAGAGCTTGTCCAGCGCGTAGAGCCTCAGCAGCTCTCGCCAGAATGCTTTGTTGCTCAGGAGATAGGCCCTCCATCAACCTTCGATTCCCCTCATCCATCGCTACAGTACCCTCTGCTGGCACTACAGCTCCGGTCTCTTGGGTTTCACCTCCATTGGTTGACCTTCGCCTCGAGCAGGTGGAGCATCAGCCCTCGCAGAGATCCTCACCGACCTCACAGCTGGTTCTCCTCTTCCTTCCTCCTGGATCAGCCGATCCAACCTTTCATCCGATGTCTCGTTCTCCGTAGCTAGGAACTCATCAGCGTCCCTTGCCCTCGAAGATGACCGTCGACGACGCTCCATTGCAGAGCTCAGTTTGGGCTCATAACCTACGGGAGGCTACAAACCAGGTGGATATGGGTTCCAACAACTAAAGTTGCGTCCCAAGGTTATGGGCTCCAACAACTAAAGTCGCGTCCCAATGACACCTCGTTGTTTTCCTTGGCAATCTCAGTTTGAGTCGCCTTGAGCCAACGCATTGGCCAGGCAAAGCTTTGCAAAACCTGAGTGCGACAGGGTCACAAATTTGTAATGTAACCGCATTTTATATTATTTTATATTATTTTACATTATTTTGATAAATGTCAGGCATCTGAGCTGTTGGGAACCTCACCGCAGGATCTAAGCCGTGCCTGGGCCTTGGAACCGACCGTCTTGGGTGGAACAGTGCCAACAACCACGGAGTGGCAACAGCTCTATGCGGCCGCACAAAAGGGTGGCACCGGCAGGAGCGACAGCACGTACCAAAAATGGCCCACCAACCGAAGATGCATGTAATTTGATTCATTTCGATTTTTTTGATGCATATAATATGATTTAATATGATTTCAAAGGCATTTTTTTCGCCATCCAGGATCTCTTCTCAGATGCTGATGGTGCTGCATGCTCCTCTGCCATCAAGCCATGTGCTTCGCGCGGCAAATGCGGCGCTGTGTAGCCGTGAGAGCGAAAACAACAGGTGCGCTGGCGAAGCGACCAGTTGGGCCACTCTGAATGAATGGTTTGATTTGATGTGGAATGACATGGAAAATTGGAATGACTGGTTTTCCAAACACTCTGAAGGCTGGAGCTGTTGAAGAGGACCGGCATCCTGGGTTGTGGAAAAAAACAGGAGTTGCGGGTAGCAGAAATTGAGGTAACCATGAGGTAACCATGATTCATTTCGGATAATTTCAGAGCCAACAGATAGCAGAGTATATCTTTGGCGAGGCCGCAACCGTTACTGCGTCACCCAAGTTGCTTTTACAGCTACGGAAAGTCAGGAGGTCCGTAGCCGGAGATAAAACATTCGTAGCTGATGCGTGCCAAGCCCTGTGAGAAACCGTGAAATGATAGACAAACGGACAGACAGTACTTAGTTAGAGGCTTGAAGCGGACTTGGTCCCCCATCACAGGCTGCTCAGCTGGCTTGAGAAAGATACCTCCAGGCATGGATTGGGGCACCCGATGAAATGACAATGAAACCTTCATGGCCAAAGTTGCTGTAGTTGCTGTCAATCCAGGTCGGCTCAGATGCTTCGGGAATCTTTAAAGGAGGCGCTGGGGTGGAGACATGCACCAAAGTCATTTCGTTTTTCAATGTAGCCCACACAGATCATAATGATTTCAATGATTTCAATGATTCATCATGATTCATCATATATGATCATGATTTCAATAGATTTCAATGGCAGATTGTGCTGGCAAAATTGGGTGCCGGTTCTTTTTTTGGGACGTTGTTTTTTCTGCCAGCTTCGAGGTGCCAGAATTCTATGCGACCTTGCTGAAATCCTTCAGGGCTGCCATTCCCACAGAGCCTGCCACTGAGTGCCACCGAGTGCCACTGGACTCACTGGACCTCAATCAACTCAACAGATCTCAACAGATCTCAACAGATCTCAGATATCAACAGGACATTGTGATTCTGTACAGATTCATTGCGGTTTGCTCATCTGGCGTTTCACACCATTTGGATGACCATTTTGGAACAAACCGTACTGAGGCCAGTCTTTTGCGAAGTTGTGATCCAATTGATGGGCCAAGTGTGCAAAGGCCACGTGGAGAACGTCAGGAACTGATGGGGCTTTGGGCGATTGGAAGCACTTCAGGTTGACACCAACTTCGGAATTTCGTTGCGGGGTCTGTTGTTGGCGTCTTTCACCGCCTACAGCATTCATAATAATATCGATAATTTAATCATATTCATATTTTGCTTGCACATTTTTGTTTTGCAGCATTTCATATCACTTCATTCAAGTTTTTCTGTCGTCATCATGCTATTTCTTGCGCCATCACCGGGCTTCATTTGAGGCTTCGTCATTCGTTCAGCTCGGTGCTGCACAAGACCTTTGCTATGCCCTGGACAGGTGCTGAGCCCAGCGTGCTCTTTGGCATGGGTTTAGCGACCAGGGACACAGTTGATGGGCCAACTTTTCGGACTGAGAAATAGACCAGACACCGTGTTGAGGGCTTTAGTTCGGACTGCTGAGACTTCCATGCCACCTCCAATTCGTGTTTTGATCAGACAACAACTGAGTTTGTCAAGTGCAGCACGTTGAAATTTTGTCCGACTTCCATCATTGATCCCTACCAAGCAGAAACGTTCAAATCTTGTGACAGGCACAGATCGCGGAAAGAGCTGCAGCGGCACGGGCGCGGTCCCAAACTGCACTGTGGTAGTTATTTGAACTTGCAATGGGCTCTACCTAGCATATCCCAGAATTCCCAGCATATTATGTGGATTGTAGTGTAGTTCTCCAAGACTATTTGAGTGGATGAGTGGATTGGAAGTCTGCATTGCATTCGTTGTTCCGCCATTTCGGGTCAGACGCCAAGGCTCTATGCGGTAGCTTGCCTGGTGCACGATGGAGGCAATCCGGTCCAATCCAGCCAACCTGGTCACTTGATGAAGGTATAGGAGCAGAGTCATTGTAGAGCAGATGTAAGGGTGAAAGCGACATATCCGGATTCTGCAGATGGTCACAACGTCACAACCTTTCTTCTTGATGCTGGTGGTTTAATTAGTGTCCATTTGAATGTCATTTCATCCTTTCAAAGCGCATGATCGTACACAGGTCATATGCTGTTCTCGCCGTGAGTGATCCTCTTGCAGTCGATGGAACAGGGCTCAAAGCGCCTTTCACAAGCAAAGGTCGTAACAGAAGCGCAAACACTGCAACTTCACGTTTAAGCCAAACGGAAGCCAAGTAAGGTCACAACGTGTCACAACTTCCCAACTAAGACACAGACGACACAGACGACACCGACGGACACGGTAGGACCACCCCAGGGGTGTTGCGACCTGTCTACATCAAACTGGCCAACTTGCAGCCTGAAAATGTGGTGCTGCAAGCACAGGCCAGGGCTGGTGATGGCTGGTGATGGCTGGTGTCTTGAAAGTTGATGAAGTGTGAGGCAGTTACGCCTGGAATGACAGTAAGTACAATATATGTTCTTTTTTGTTCCACATCGAAATGGCAATCAGTTGAAGTTTAACCAGACATGGCAAGAGATTATAGCGATTCTCGATACTCCAGACATCTCTAGACAGGTTACCGTTGAAAGGTATAGATAGAGTTTTGGTGCCTTTGCCAATGATAGATGGCAGATTGCGACGGGTTGCCATCTGCAAGGCACCGGGGTTCAGTTCTGCCCCCGGCTGCGACGGCAGCGAAAACAGCGCCTTTGCACAAGGAGGGGAAGAGACTTGTGCTGCAAATTGGAAACGGGCTCCACCGTTCATGAGTCCATTTTAGGGGCTTACCAATTTTGATACACGACGAATGTCTTCAAGACTTTGAGGGAGTTGGGCCACTAAATTGAAATGTGATGAAGGACGCAAGTCTCAGTGGAATATAGAAGATCTTTTACCGCCTGATCATCAAGTACTTGTAGGATCTTGTAGGTATGTGTGCCACTTCGGGTTGTCACAGCTTCATATGTTTTGCGAAGGGATTTTTTTCGACTGCTCTCGACTGACCCTGTCCTGCATTGCTGAGGATCTGTCCCATCACCGGCTTGGAAGGTCCCGGCTGTTTTGCTGTCGGCGTGTCGCAGGGAGAAGGCGAGTAAGGCATTCGGCGATGGTTCCAACTTCCAACTGCCAGGCATTTGCCCTATGGCAAGGAAGCCAAAGCTGAAAGAAGGAGAAAAGGCACACCCTTAGATTCGACTTGCTAGTACGATTTGACTTAGATAGTACGATAGTGCATGGATATTTATGGTATGAACACGGTATGATTCATTTTAAGTCACAAGCTATGTTTTGGTCAATAACAATAACATCAATAACAATAACATCAATAACTTTATCTGAGCTCTTATTTTGCATCATCACTACGCCGTTGATTGACACTTCATAAGAGCTACTGATTTTGTTGCAGGCGCCAGAGCTCAAAGTCTTGCTGTTCCTGATGTGGGAGGACACTCAGCCTGCCATGAAGAATTTTAGAATCCATGGATCGAAACTTAAATCTTCAGTATTTGTTCAATGGCGCCCTTTGCCGTGGTTCCGAACTTTTCCAGCAGGTTTGAATGAGCAGCATTTGAAAGCATTGCCCAAGCGATCCCAAGCGTAACAATTTTCTTTGGAAGTCCGAGTGATCAAAACCGGGACGCCTTCAGAGCTGATTGCTCAGTGGGCTGCAGGAAGGTGAATCAAAGGTCAGCGTGTCTCAGCTGCGAATAGACAGTTTTGACGATATGGCAGTGGGTACATTGCACTTCGGGTCTCACCTGCTAATTTGGGCATGATTGCGCGGGTTGGCTCACTTTTCACTGTACTTTTGTATTTGCAACTTTCCCAGATTGGTGACCTTTACCAGTGGCCTTGGAAGTTTGCGTTCACTTCCTTCGATTCAGAAAATTCCCGACTTTGAGGTGGGAGTCTATCCGCATCAAAGCAGCCTGGCAGAGAAATGGGACGTCGCAGGTGACAGCTCGATGTGCGACGGGGCGACGAGGCGAGTTCCATCCATCGCTCCGCTGAGGTAAGCACTGGGAAGCCTTGGAACTGTCCGACTGCTCCACCAAGGAGGAGATCAAGGTCGATGCAACAAACAGAACTGCATAGAACTGCTCGAATTGTGAAAATGTTATAAATGATTGAACATGTGTGAAAGCTGGAAAGTCTTTGACTTGATGTGAACAACAAAACCTGTTTTCAAGTCTGGCGAATGGGTTCTGCTGCAGCTTCTGTTTGAAAACTCTGAGATGGCGTAGAAAACTCAGATCAACGAATCCACGCCACACAAGGAGATTGAAATGAACTGCACAAAATATCTGCAGCATTCTGCAGCCTTAACTCCAAAGATGATGCAGGTCAAACGGAGTAGAGCCATCACTGAACACTAAGGAAGCATAGGGAAGGATAGGGAAGGATAGGGAAGGATAGGGAAGGATAGGGAAGGATAGGGAAGGATAGGGAAGGATAGGAAGGTTTCAGACATGGCCTGAAGCAGGAGGGACATGGCATGCATGGACAGTGTGCTCATGATGTGTCCAGGCGAAGTACCGAAAGCTGTCTGTAAAATATCATCCTGACAAGAACCAGGAGGCTGGGCGCAGCTGGGGCTGGGGGTGTTGACGGCGTGCCCAGTTGTTGCAACAAAGTGCCAAGCTTCAATCCAGTAATTCGTTATGGAGGATGGTGCTAAAGAACGGTTTCAGCGCATCACTGAAGCCTATGAAGCGCTGAAGGTGGGAGGGGAGCATTCAACGATTTCTGCTGGATTTGCAGTCATCGCACTGCATTTTGAGATTATTTAGCTCTATTGGTCCTGCCACAGGAGACTGATGGCCAGTTGGCGTTTCCTTGGGAGCGCTTCCCGGAGCGTCAACAGATGATGAAAGGCCGTAGGATTTCAATCCATCAGTTGGCTCAGTTGGATTCTTGCTACCTGCATTCTGCCATTCTGCCTGCTAGCACTTCTACCTGTTCGATTTGATAAGCCAACCCCTAACAGACAGGCTGAAATCGTTCAGGAAGAGCATCTTTGGTCAGCATCCCTTGGCCCGGCCAGGCTCAGATCTCATCCGAACCTTGGGATTTCTCGGAGCTGAAGCAGCACAACAAGATCCCATCAAAGCGCAGTTCATGCAGTCAGCCCGGCGCATTGAGACCGCTGAGACCGGCTGAGACCGGCTGAGACCTGCGTCGAGCTGCGGCTTGTTCCACGCCAGGCAAGTGGTGAAAGAGGCCACCGACTGCAGAGTGCTCTTGCATGACACTTGGCAGAGGGTGAACCAACGTTTTCTGCTCAAAATGATGCTTTGGCACCGGGTGAGACACGCTGTTCACAAACCTATGGTTGGATTTGAAGGCTCCTGTTCTATTCAACTTTCATCCTTGGCAGGTCCAGCTCTAGAGTAGGAGCCTAAATCCGATACATGCTTTTCTTATCTTAAAGCCTAAAGGCTGGAGGACAACAATCCATGCTGTGGCATTTCAGATCAGCAGTTCAGGAAAGAGACACCAAAGATGAAGAGAAGTCCTGCAAGGACAACATTTGTCGGTGCTGTCGCCTTGGCGGTCCCCGCCCTCGCCTTCAAAACTCCACAGCGAACCACTCGAACCGCAGGAAATATGGGCTGATGCTCTGTGTGTGGATGAGCGGAGTGGTGCGAACCATTTGGTAAAGGCCAGGGCCGGATGAGGTTTAGATGTGGCATTTTGATAGCAAATCGAAATTGCAAAACGAAAACATTAGAAGAAAGAAATGATAGAAATGTTCTGCTAGGTTTGCTGGGAAATCCCCTGCTCCAAGACATAGTTGACCGTGGATATCTTTGCTCATTCTCTAGCACTGGGCTGGTCGGTTTCTCTGAGGTCTACCGGCGAATTGTCACTTTGTCGGAAGCAGCCAAGCTTGCAGCTAAAGAAGGGATGGAAGAACTTGACGAATGAGCGGGATTCTGTATGATTGAAACAACAGTTTCTTTGAACCCCAAATCTAAACATCTACGGCTCTTCCATTTTGATGCTTCATTATGTTTCATTACTATACTGTTTTCATCCATTTTCTGGGAAGTTACGGCGGAGAGCTCATCCTGCTCGGAATCCTGCAACATTCAATGAAGAACAGCAGACTTCCCAGCCTGTACATAGCCGCGCGCGAGCATCTGATCTATCCGAATCATGGTACTTCCCAAGATTTTTAGATGCTTTCGATGTTCAGTATCTACACATACGTAGAATTGATTACAATTGGTATATACAATTTCTATATTCTGCATATTAACTGCATATTCTGTATATCCCTTTGAAACAGAAACAGCGAAATCCAAGCCGTCCACACCGATCGGATCACAACCGCGTTCTGCTGGGCCCATGACCCGAAACGGCGAAACGGGCCGCGAGCTGCAGCTTGGTGGAGCCGAAAAGCCCAAGGAATGATGGAAAAAAACATGAAAAAACCATGAAAACAAAAACCATCTGCAGATCATTTGCATATTCTGGATATTTCTGGATGGGCAAGTGAAACCATGTTTAGGTAGAAGATAAGTGGAACAGCATTTTGTGATCCTTTGAAAAGAAATGTAGAACTGTGATGTAATCATATGATGCATATGTAATAATGTCATTTTATTTAATGGTTTATGATAAGTTTATAAATTGCTCTGAAGTGTTGGTCATGAGCGCCGGGCGCCAGGCGGAGCCGCCCAAGCAATTGCTGCACAGGCTCCTTGGCCCATTCGCGTCGTGATTTTGACCCGTGATCTTTACGTGTTCATGGCACAGTCGCTAGCATGTTGGCCCGTGACAAAGGAAGTAAACTGTATCTTAGTATATCTTAGTATATCCGAGTATCTTCTTTCGATTGTCTATTCTTGTTCTGTTCTTGTGGACTCGAATCTAGGCTCTAATCGATTTCTCAAATAGATTCCCATCCGCGGTTCCACAAGGCTGTACCCTTGGCCTTGCGTGCGATGTTAACGCACCAGAAGAGCCCATCGGTGCCTTCCTGGGATCGCAGATCGTTGGCGAATGAAGCCACCTTTCGGCACCTTTAGGCCCCTAGAAGGCCTAGAAGTAGCACCTTTCCCATCCTTTCCCATCCTTTACCATCCTTTCCCATTGTGGCTTACCCTGGTGGCAGCTGTTTTCAGTCTTTTTGGCTCTCCTTGACTCCTTTGCAAAGTCTGGCATCCTGGACATCTCTGACAAGCAAAGTCTTCAATGTCTGGTTGATTTCCTCCGAACATTGGTGACAGCCGATCCTTAAACCTGCAGACTGGGCAGCTCTGCACATAGCTCAGGTACAAGTGAAAGGCTGTGAAGTCTTGCGGCTGCTGGTGGAATTGAGCCCAGAGGTGGTGCCATCAGATGCCGTCAGCTTCGCCGACTCCGACTCCATGGCTAAAACTTTCCGAATTTGCCGAGAAATTTGATGAAATTTGTTAGATTTTGTATACGCATCGCTTCTAACTGCCTTGGGTCCCAACTCACTGGGTCGGGACAGACGTGTTCGGCTGCCGTTCTCCGGTCAGGTTCCATTGGATGAAATCGCAGAGGCGGCCAACATCAGGATACCATGCGGTGTTCCTGTTTGTATCCAAATGATTTCAAATTAGGTCGATTGTTTCTTTTTTCTTTTTTTTCCATATTTTCTCGAGTTTTTTTTGTTCCGAAACAGCAGTCCATTGGAATTCGGCGCACCAGCCCTTCCCAACGATTTTCAGCATGATTTCAGCAGGCCTCCATGAGAGCCAAGCGCCTCTTCCCGTCGGATCGGTTGGTCCACCGTGCGGTGGACTTGGTGTTGAGTTCGGTACCTCAATGGTTTTCAAAACGTATATGGTATATTATGTATATTATGTATATTATTATATTATAGTAATTTATAGTATATAGAATCCGTACTTCAAAAACCTATCACTGTACTTCCGTGGATCCAAAGTATCCCAAAGTATCCCAAAGTATCCCAAAGTTGCCCATTCTCTTCTCTCAGTTGTGTCTAAGTTGTCTTCTCTATGTCCGAGGCTTTGCAGTGCCACGCTCCGCAGGGGCCCCGGAGCTGCTGATGGCTGCCGTCTGTTGGTGGACCTGGTGATGGACCGGTTGGTGGAGGTAGACTTGTCAATTTGAGGCTGCGTGCATCGGGGCCTTGATGGATGCTGCTACCAAGGATGAGACCTGGTTGCAAAGTGCTTGCAAAGTGGTTTGAATGTCCGGAGATATTTCTTTGACGATAGGTTTGGTGATAATCTCTGATAGGCAATAGTTGAGGACAGTGGTTAGTTTTTATTTTTATTTTTTTGGCAATGATGCCCAAATTCGGACACAGGTTTACTGGATGTGAAGGCACAAGGGATTGGACGGGTTTTCCTTTTAAACAAGACGTCACATCTAAGGAGATGGTGCAACGGAGTGGCATTTGCAGCCTCTTGGTAGCTGAAAGTCATGCCTTTGAAGCTGCTTTTTGACGTTTTTGGTTCAGACATGGCTGGCAAAATCATCCATTTTAAATCATTTTAATAGGATTAATGATTTATGGAAAAATCATCGATTTAAAATCATGACTTTCCATTATAAACCATCCACTTTTGAGTACCCCCATTTATGGAAACCCCCATATGGGCAACCTCCAAGTCATCGATTGAGGCCTCGGCCACCTGGCCAAGCATGGAGGAGTTGCATGGCGTCTCTCAGCTGTTTTGGGAGGGTTCCGAGTGGCAGTACACTGTCCAAAACAACCAAATCAACTTTCTATTGTAGGCGTCATAATTTATATTATATATATATGTAATATATATATATATATGTAATATATATATATGTAATATATATATATATGTAATATATATATATATTATATGTATCACATACACTCTTACATATCATTTCAAATGGCTTGTTGAACTGAGACGGGTGCCAGGGGTGTGGCCTTGTGGCCTCGGATTAGGTGGTGCGACAAACACAGCGGTGAATCGAATCCTTCGGGCTTTGCAACAGCACAAAGGACCGGCTCGGAGGATCCCAGACTTGGCATGTCATATGTCATCTGAAGGTTTTCAGAGCATAGTAAGTGTAAAATAGCTAGAAAAATAAACATCTCCAAATAATCATTAGAACATAACTAGACACAGAAAATAACAATATGGATACAGTAATCTATATGTACATATACACCATTATACACATGTATTGCTCTCCCATTTTGATGATGTAAAATGATCACGAACACAATCCAGACATCGAGACCTGGCCAGGCAGTGCTGCCCTGCAGGCGTCCGGGCTGTGGGCCCTGGGTCGCCTGGCAGAACGTTTGGAGGCGCCAGGCGGTGGAATGCAGGTGCGATGTGGATCTGTGGATCTGTGGATCTGTGGATCCGATGTGGATTGGGGAATCAATGGATATCGGCTGAAATATTTGGAATGGATCAGAATGTTGGAATGGATCAGAATTTCAGACGAAAAGCCGCAGATGTGCATCATGAGTTTCTACCGTAGAACTTACAGAACTTACAGAACTTACAGAACACAGAAGCTTGACATAGCTTGACCATCTCAACCCATACCTGACGGGTCGTCGATCTGATTGGATCTGTGGAGGATGCAGCACAACGTGCCAAGCAGTTGCACCCCGACTCGGCTTTGGTGCAACGACATGCTGTGAGGATCCCGGAGATCCCCCCTAGGGCAATCTGGGTCTGGTTGGCTCAGCGCTGTTTTTGTTTTTGGTTTCAGTATGTTTTGACACAAAAAAAAACAGCGCTTCTGATTCTTCTGATCTTGTTCACTTCATTTTGATTTGGCTCTTGAATGTTCTGAATGGACGATTCTCCTTGCATATTTGGGTGCTTCCTGTGCTTCCCGTGCTTCCCGTGCTTCGCAGATGGCGCTTGCAGTTCCAAGCTGAGGATGAACTCATTGCCTTTCTCCTGAGGCCTTAGGGACATGGCCGACATGGCCGACATGGCCCATGCCTTGATATCATCAACTCAGCACGGCCCCATACGATGTGCCAAACGAATCCATACGAGACATTTGTCGATTGCAGTTAGGAAGTGTTTCGTTACAAAAACCGGGCGCAAGGACAGGAAACTCATGGAAACATCTCCTAACAGGATTGCATATTTTGCGAACGAGAAAAGAAGAACTCGTCAACCCCGGGCTCAAAGACAGCCACCTCGGTGCGCCCCGAACTCTCTGAAACGTGGAGGTTTGGTAGCGCTAAAAGACACCATTGTACAGCTCAAAAAAAATGTGGAAGCGTTGCACAAGTGGCAAGTCATATTCTACACATTCAGCATCAGATAAGTTTGATTGAACTTGATGCTGAACACAAAAATCTGAAGTGTAGTGGCCAACCACAGCTGCTAGCCCCTTTCAGATCGCCATGAATCAATGTGGAGACTTTCCCTCCGGCCTTTGGGTGTGTTCGTTTTAGATGGTTTGAGGGGAGCTCTTCATTAGTGTGAGGGAGAATCTGAGAACACTGAAAGGTTTGACAGTCACCGCTGTTGCAATACCGCTGGCTTTGGGCTGGGATTGGACCAATCGGATTGGAGTCCCAAAATACGATTTGATTTGACTGCGGCTTCTCGGATTTCAAGGGGGTGAAACGGTGTGATGGGACTAGATGGTCCTAGATGGACTAGCTTGGCATTGAGATAGTTACTATTGTATACTATTGTGAGAGTTGAAGATTTCAGACCAAACCAAATTGCTTCCTTGGAAATCTTGGAAATGGATGGACATGGCATTTGTTATATTTTTGTGACAGAGCTCCAAAGCCTTTTTCCACCCAGGGACCCCTCTGAGATCCTTTGAGGTTGCCAGTTGCCCTTGGCGAACCGTGGCACTCCACGTGGTCTCAATCTCAGAGATCCAACTGATCCAACTGATCCAACTGATCCAACTGCCATATTTGGAGTCCAAAGTCGTTGTTCTGGCGGAGTTAAATGGAACTGAGCCAATCTGAGCCACAGGATTTTGCTTCAGCAAAATCGGCAAGATGACTCTACCTGAGAGCGAGTGCGGGCACACAGTGTCGTTGATGCAGTGCACTCAGTCGACGTGAGACCCCAATTTTTCAATTTTTGACGCGGAAGATAGAAATTGATTTACAACATGTTTTACCCATTTTACCCATTTTACCCATGAATCCCTTCAAAGTTGACCAAACTGCCCTGAGATGTGTTCCAAACACCTTCCTGGAGCTCTTGTTTCAGCCTCAGTGGACCCATTCTAGCCTGGCGGGCTTCAGAAATGTGTACGAAGGGATTCAGAAATCCTACGGAATCTCCTGTTTTCTGTCAGAATGGTCAGAATGCAAACAAAACACCATTCATTCTGCCTCGATCTGCCAAGTGTTGGTGGCACCTTTTCCTGACAGGACTGAGAACGACACGGTGTTCACGTTCGTGTTCTTCGTTCTCGGCTGGTGGCCTGTCATCATTTCAATCTGGGTTCGGTGTGAAGCAGGTTCCATCACCTCACCAGATGTCATGATGGACAAATAACAACATTGACTGAGTGACCTCTCAGAGTTTCACCCTGGAACGTCGGAGAGGTTTAGATTCATACTCAATACTGTCAATACATCTCAATATTGGTGCTTTAACGGACTCAAGAATTCATTCTTGCAATTTTTGGAATCTGGTCTTAAAAATCACGATGACAGTTGGGGTTCATGGATCATTGATGACCATTGTAGGTTTATTTGCAGATGCGGCTTTCCAGACCGAAGATTTGTTGGGGACTGAGCTTGTCTGCGGTACCATTTGCTACCCTCTTGGCACCTTGAAACGACTCTCAAGCTGTAGTGAATGAGTCTGACAGTTTTGCTGCTGAATTTCCCAGATGAAACTGCTTCTATTTTGGAATCAGTTCTGGTTGGGGCAACTGATATCAAGAACTTGTCGCCGGTACCGCTGTCATCCGCTGTCGTTGGTTCAAAAGAACGGCGCAGCACGGAAAAGTGGAGGACAGCGTATGGGCATCGTTTGATCCTCAAATCTCCAGATCGGATCAGATTCGAAGCGAAACCGAAGAGTGGCGGCGCCAAAGCCGCCGCGTTTCAACACTTTGGAGCTCACTTTGCGTCCGACATAGTTTTGGAGTGTTTTGGGTCCGGTGCCAAGGTTACCAAGGGTTGAATTGGTTGAATCATGTTCAATCTACTCAACTCTTCTGGAAGTGCTCGAAGCTCAGTTATGTGGTGTAGCTGTGTAGCTCCGCAGGACTGCAGCAGCTGCAGAGGAATGCCGCCAAAGAGATGTTGCTGTACTACAACAAGAGCCTTGGAATGCATTGGGTGATCAACTCGCACATCGTGAAACGAGAGCAGTGATTTGATATGATTTGATGATTTTTTTGGGACCTTCTGGTAGCTTTTCTTTTATTGCAACCACGGCAATAAACATGGAGAAGAGGGCTATTCAGCCCTGCCTTTCTGGTCTGAAGTCCTGAGCAAACTGAAACCGATCCATGTCCCTGGAAACAAAGAAACAACACAGAAACAACAAAGAAACATGGAAGTCGAAATCAGTCGAAACCGCGAAGCGCCAAGGAGCTTCTTCTGGTTGCTCTTGGAACGGCGCGGCAGTGTCTTCTACAGACTGGACTCAGTGTGACATGACTGGATCGGCCCAGCTACATTCTGTTTTGCTCCTCCTAGTAAACATTAGTAAATCCAGACAACAGTGACTAACAGCCAATAAAATCCAATAAATTTATATCATTTTATATCGATTTGATCTTTCCAACTGGTTTTGTGTTTGCTCACTCTCAACAAGAACGACTGTGCGCCGCTTGATCAAACCAAGGTTTGGTGGCCTTTTTATAGCCGCCTTGGGAGGAATCGTGCAGTGGATGTTTGACAGTGGTTGCTCAGCTTGGCAGAGTCTGTATCAGCTGTTTAAGCGAGATCCTTCATATAGAAATCATTAGAAATGTTTGTACATACTGTATACATAGTGTATACATACTGTATACATACTGTATACATACTGTATACATACTGTATACATACTGTATACATACTGTATACATACTGTATACATACTGTATACATACTGTATACATACTGTGCAGTAGCTCAACCTTTAATTTCTACAGAGCAGTTTGTCCTTGGTGGTGACATGTGGTGACGGTGCCTGAAAGATTCCGGCTGAGACTGGGAATACGCACCGCGGATTCATCACCACTATGCCTTCCAGGTGCAATGCGTTTGACTATAAGCAGCAGGACAATCATAACAAGCATATTAATTAAAACAACAATTTAGAACACAAAACAACCGCTTTTTTTCATACCAAAATGTTACTGAGATGATTCAATACACTAACAGCTTCGGTGGCTGCAACATTCGATGATTCGATGCCCTGCAGGCTCTGGGTGCCGGAGTGACCTTCGCCATCGTCTTCCGCACACAGCTGGCATGGAATAGGCCCGCCCGACAGCAGCACGGTGACATCACCGTCACCAGATACTTCAAAGTAGAGACAAAGTAGAGACAAAGTAGAGACAAAGTAGAGACTTGAGCGCGAATGTGAAAAATACACAGCCAGGGTCTGTAGGTTCCATTTCCCAGCTGCATTCGGCCAGGTATTGGGAAGCTGTGACTCAGCTCCATTTCATGTGACTCAGCCAGCACTGCAGCGGACGAACTTGGCGTAGATGTCACTATGGGTCCCAGAGCATTGTATTGGAGCACAATTACAAGTGATAGAACTTCTCAATACTTATCATAGAACTTATTTGGAGTCATTGACAGTTGATTTCCTTCACAGGAGAAATTAAAGGTGAGATTTCTCCATTCCGCTGGATCTTGCCAGTCTTACATATCTTACACCGTCTTCCCATGTCTGATGTCTTACCAGGTACAGCAAATTTGCGGACGCATTTTCTCAGTTCCAGGCCAGGCGGCCGGGCGGCCGGGCGGCCGGGCCGTTGAAGTTCGACTGTGCCGACTGTGCCGACTGTGCTGACTGTGCCAGGCCTTCGCTGAAGTGACCCGGAAGAATGTGCAGGAGAAGGATCCCTTGAAGGTGAGCTGAGTGCTGGGCATGGCTGGGCATGGCTGGGCATGGCGCTGTTTGGTTTGGCAGATTTGAAATGCCGATTCTGCTGATGTTTTCCATGTTGGATTGTTGGATGTTGGCCGAGATCGACAGGCCGACAGGATTCGCTTGAAGCAATGGAGGTTGAAGATCAACTATGCATTGCTCAGCGTCTTTGCAGCACTCTTTCCCTTGCATAGTCTGCATCTGCATACATTCTTTTTAGACTAACTTGAGATCAAAGACCATGATATCTCCCATTGACTGTGACATATTGTGTTCCATGGCCTCTGAGGCACTGTGGCGGCTGATAGGTTGAACACCGGCGACAACCAGCGGATGGAAGATGTGAGGTCCAAAGGTGTCCGGACAAGGAACACAATGAGGATCAACAAGGACGGTTTGAATCTGAATGGAGCAGCAGACTCAATCCATCTAAATCCCCTCCAATCTCCAAACCAATCTGAGTTTGGGTCAATTTTGGATAAGGCGATTCTTCCACAAACCTTCAACTTCACTCTCATATGTGCACATATGCTAATGATATGACTGATATGACCTTTTGGATCCTTTTGGCTACTCTCTTTGAGATATGCTGCATATGATGCCATGAGGATGCTTGTTTTTGAAATTGTAATCGCTTGGAGTCTTGTCAGCAGTGAGGAAACTCAGACCTCCGGCCTTCCAAAGATGAAACTGAGGACCGCTGGTGTCTCGGAGCTTGGTGTGGGATCAATGTCGACTCGTTGGCATGTCCAAAACAAGGAAGCAATATGAAGCAATGTCATTTCACGAGTTTGGCTAGGTCTAGCCCTTTCCAGCTTCTGCAAGACACGCTTGTTGCACAATTCTGTGCCAATGATAGCGAAGATCTTGAACAAGTGTGAAGCGCACGTTTCTCTTTAGTTTCTCCACAGTTCAAGCATGACCAACTCTGCTTCTCGAAGCGACTTGCTATGGTTTGTATCCTCGTGATTCTATAAAGACTTTGGCTTTTGGGGTATAATATTCAACTTGAAAGAAGGTCAACAACCACCATCCACAAAATCTGCCTGCAGGAGTGAGATTGATCGTCAAGACTCAAAAAGTGATGTCTATGTTGCTTGGGCCGAAAGTGCAGTTGTTCTGTTTGTTTTTTGCATTCCTTGGAACAAAAACAACAAACAACAACAGCGTCCGTTCTGTTTTTCTGCGATCCGAACAGTTCAAAGCCAGTTGGTGTGGACTTCCCTGTGTGCCAAGCTCACCTGGGAGTCCTGAAATTCTGCGAGGCCGTTTTCGAGCTACCTTCGGCGGAGCAAATACAATTGATGATGGCATCCAATGACATGGTTTCTACTGTGATGTACTGGATCATTTGGGATCTGGCTGATTGTGACCTGGATGAGGAAGTCTCAGTTGGTTTCATTCCCCGGTGGATTTGGAAAGGATACCGAGGATACCTGTGAAAGGAGCAGCCGAAACGATATACAGAGTCATATAGAGTCATATAGAGGGTACGCAGCAAACTTGTTCCCCCGTTTTTGCCAAGTTGGTACCAATTTGCTTCCAAGCCGTTCACAAATATCTTCTCACCCACAGATTCCCATGGAGATATGGAATGATTCTCTGGCATTCTACGAGGTATGAAGGACATCGACATCGCTCCTCCCATCCAGTCGAGGATGTACCAGGAGTCAAAGCCGTACCACTTAACAGTACCAGAGCCAGGCCTGAAACTGGTCCAATCTGGTGCAGGAGCTTTCAAATGGTATGTTGGGCTTCAACAATTGCCTGAAGATCGCTGATGCATCTTGGCCTTGTGGTCCTTGTGTCCTCAACTTCCCCAAGCCCAGGACAAGCGTTGAATCTCCAGAAAAACTTAGAATTAGTTTGGATCTGTGAGATCTGTGAGATCTGTGGGATTGTGGGAGAACCAAATTTATCGCGATTCGTTTGGACAGTTTGGACATCGCTCCATGGTGGGGCCTCCAGGTGCCATTTCCGCTGCCCTTCGCTCAACTCTTGGGCCTTTTGCTGGTGGGCCGAGCTTCACAACGGACGTAGTGAAGATGTTGAACGAAGTTGTTTGAAGCAGGGTGAACAACGAAGGACTTGGTGGGAAGATCCTGTCCTGGTATAGTAGTATAGTTCTTGGCTCTGGGTTACCGCGCGATATGAATGGTTCTAAACGCAGTAGGGGTTGCCACGTATTGATTTGTGTCAGAAACATGAAGACATGACATGACCCGCAATCTGATTTTGCCTGCAACAAGGTAGTTGTCATGAAGGGGCCCCTTTCACTGACAATCATTGTTTTTACCAACCCATTTTTTTCTTTCAACCCGGGTGCTGTGCTACTTAGTGCTACTTGAAGCTTTCGACAGGTGGCGTTCAGTTGCTTCATCCCTGTCTATGTCATCAACTTCACGGGCTCTCCAATTGCAGGGCCCGTCCTGTCACTGGGCAACAAAGCACTGAGCACAGGAAATCAATAGAATCAATTTGAAAATTTGAATCAATACAGACTCACATCAAATCATTGAATGTCATAAATTTCCATCGCGTCCTCTTGACAGCCGTGCTAATGACAATCCCTTGTCAACTTGATTTGTTTCAGTGGTTCTAGATCCCATTCATAGCAAGAAAGGCCATTGTTGAAAACGTGTCATGAACCGCTGGAATGACGGTATGACCCGGACTCGGCTCCTGAGGTGTTTCTTTCTTTTTGAAAGTTTGTGGTGCCTTAACGAAGTGGCCAAGGAGACCGCTATCCAAGCTACAACTTGGCCCCTTCACCATGAATCAACGTCTTGCTAGCAACAACGGTACCGGGGGGTGGCAAGAGCTGGGGGGTAAGGTACTCGGGAGGTCCACGCATGCTTGACGGCAATTTAGAACTTTCACTGGACGAGGTGGTCATTGTTTGGGGATTCAAGTTTTGATCTACATATGTATTCAATTGTATTCATATATATATAATTATATATATACATATATATATGTATCTACATTTAAACAAATCTAAACAAATAAATCAATACTATATATATATATATATTAATACATATATATATATATACATACATAATATACATACACATACATTATTTAAATCGATGTATGTAAATCAATGGTAATTTCAGGATCCTAAAATGGAGGTACTGTACCATGTAAGGCCATATTTTGTGGGGATATTCCCTTACATAGGCCTTACATAGGCCTTATATATGGTAGGTACCCCCAACTTCAGGTTCCTGAAATGACCATTGAGTAAACATATAGTTATATGTAAATATATATATATATATATATTTATGTATATTATGTATACTGTATACATACACACATATATATATATATATATGTATTATAAAGAAACCCACCATCCAGATCTTCGGGAAGCCTTGGAACTGCCAGGAGCTCGAAAATCCGTTTGGCCAAGACATCAACGACATTCATTTGCCAGACTTTCACATGCGCTTCGTGGACTGCCTGCAGGACTGGATTAGAGCTGTTGCACCATGGGGTCCCTGCACAGCCGCAGATAGTTTCGATCTGTTTCGATCTGTTTCGATTGTGATCCTCCCAAAGTTCATCCAATGGCTGGTCAGGACGTAAGCGTGGATGATCAAGCCGGCATGCTGAAGAATCCGTGGGCCACTCAGATTGGCATCTGCACCCGTTTGAACCCTGCACCGGACACCCGGCAACTTGACCTTGGTGGCCTTACGGCCTTGTATGCCTTGTATGCCTTGTATGCCTTGTATGCCTTGTATGCCTTGTATGCCTTGTATGCCTTGTACTCCCCTATGTTCTTTCTGACATGCTTTCTGGTTTCGTCAGCAGGTTCCTTGGCATTGATCCAGGTGAGGGGGGCTTTGGGTTTGTGGGAATGAAAACAACAACTGCTAGGAGAGAACCTATTATTTTTGGAACTTTTTTAAAGGAACTGGTCGTAGTACAGCCGACAGCCACTGACAGCCACTGGCTTGTCAGGCCTTCAAGACCCAGCACAGCATGGCATAGAGGTCCTTCCTGAAGCTGAAGTGGATGGGATGAAGATCTGAGCGGATTTGCTCATGGGGCTCTGCTACTTGACCCAAAAAAGTGGGGTCGCTGTATGTTATTGTTATTGTTATTGTGCACATTGTAACATCATTTATGGTTTACAAGAAACCTCTATATAACTGTGTTGGTGAAGCTGCCAACATCACTTCAGTGTTTTGATCAATTTTGATTTAAGCTGATCGTTTGAAACCTGAGAAATTCACCTAGACGCTTGGCTCGTGGGCGTTCCGGTGTGCGGGCGAAGTGCGGGCGAACCAGCCCGTTGCGTAGAAACTGGCACCGGAGGAGCCATGAAGCTTCACACGGGCAGAAGGGTTCCGAATCACCACATGTCACGGTTATGTCACGACATATCTATCCATATCTATCCATATCAGATATCTGTATATCAGATATCTGTGAAATCCTGTAAATATCTATCATATCTCAATCTCTGCTTGGAAGGCTTGATTCACTGTACCTGTTGCTTCAAAGGACGTGTCTGGATTCCATTGGACGCGACATTGGTAGCCCTTGCTCTCTCCAAACAGTCCCATGAGAATCAAAAGATATCATTTCTGAAGGGGTGACTTATCCTCTTATCAATGCGGAGAATGGTTCCTAGAAAAATACAGTGAATCTCGCATTGTGAGCTGACGGCACAGCACCGCATCTGAATACTCCTCAGAAATATGGGGGTCAGGTAAAGTATGTTCAGAAGCAGTTTGTAAGAACACTTAAACATGCCGATGTCGCTTCATGAAAAACCGTGAAGGGTGGCTAAAATGCTACTCTCAACTCAATGCGTACGGCCGGTGAACCAGTCAGTCCATGTGCTGTTGATCGGGCCTGGAACTTCTCACAAGATTTACCATGGAGACACTTGTTCAAGTCTGTTGCATGTGGTTTTGACATTCGAGGAAGATAGGATGGAAAAAACATGGACCATGATTTATCGCATTTATTGCTCAGTGTTCCTAGCTTTCAAGTTTTTGAGACGCCGGCCTTTCAGCTGCAGTGGACATCTTTCCAGCAAATGCATGGAGTTTCACACCGGATCAATTGATCGCAGTGGAGTGGAGAGAGCGATTGGATTCATCGAGTCATTGGTCAGAAGCAAGGATTTGTCAACAGCTCCAACTATGGTTGTAGTATTGCAGCCTCACTGTTATTGGTGATGGTTTGTTTATCCCAGGTTGAGGTATCGCCCACTGTACAATCCAAGACAGTGTCATGGCAGTCCTTCCGAGGCATTTGGTGTGAACAGGGCCTTGTCAAAGGTGGGAGGGCAGAAGGGCATGTGAAGTGATTGAGTTGTGATTGAGTTGATCCAGGGATATCCAGGACTGATTGAAGTCAAGACAGGCTTTGTTTTCATAAGGCGTGCCACGTTTCCTGTGGCCTTTGCATTGCGAACTTCAGGAGACAAGGAGAGAAGCTCAGGAGGCGGGGGGTACAACGTTTCTTCCATTTTTCTTCATATTGACAGATGGTTGACAGATGGTTATTCTTGGTCCTATGATGACAATTTTGGAAGGATATCTTCAACAGGGAACAATCCCCAACATTTCAACGCCCAGTGAGTTTTCCAAGGGGGCTGTAGCTGGTACTGTGTGGGCATTTTGCGCAGAATACAAAGATATAAAACACATATAATTTCTACATAAACAATCATAAACATATACATATATATATAATATGACCATAATATAATCATAATATAAACATTATGTAGAGATTATACACATTGTATAAACATGATGTAAACAGTGGACACTCAGTGCTTTCCAAAAAAGTCGTCGCAGGTGTCGCAGATTGGCATGAGGACGCCTCAGGCCCTTGCATCAGTCGTCCGTTGTGGCGGAGTCGTTTCAATCAGGCCGTTGAAAAATCAGATGGTCATTGGAATAGTATTGGAATAGTCATATGTTTAATTATTACTATTTCAATTATACCATATGGTAATAGATTACTATTTAGATCAGATGTTTCAATGACTGTTTGAAAAATTACTGATTCAATTACTGATATCTGTCTGAAATCTGAGTCCTTGCCATGGAACGAAGTGTAAGCGTCATTTGCACGATGTGCCATGCGGAAAGAAAGAGAGGTGACGCGGAAAACAGCACTTTTCTTTCGACATTTGACAAGAACAGGAGACTTCATGCCGAGTCAGTCTCGGATGCTCAGCCCTGTCAGGTGTTACTCGGCCAGTGACGCGGTCCACAGTGTGACCAGGCACCATGCAGAGTTGCAGCGGCGTAGGAGGGAGCCACGGCTGGGTACAGTGGAAGATGCAGATGATTTTGGATGATTGTTGACATCAGAAGGTCTTTAACAAGAGTGGTGCTGTCTACCCACAAAAGCTAGACTGAAGCCTTTGGATCACGATATTAATCTGTTTACTAACTGTTTACTACCTTCACAAATCATAGCTGACACTGAAAGTTTGGGTCGCCACAAGGTGAGACTGGCTGTGGCAAGCGCTGCATGGCACAGGAGGGGGGGCCATGGGCCAAAGGCTGGCAAGGTGGACAGTTAAGACATGGGGTCCGTTTGTTCCGCGACTTCTGTCCTATTATATCTAATTGTATATATATATGGCAACAGGTTAAATCACAAAATGACGTTTCAGAAGGTAAAGATGCTGGTGTATCAGAGTACTTTGTATCTGTCCAGCAGAGATTGCAGCCATTCACAATCAGTCATAGACCATTATAGCCCTTACAGTCTACAGAGGCACGGGGCTCAATAGGGCTTGTTGTGCAAATGGTAATCGTAGCAACCTGTTCCATTGCCCACGATGCATCTGCAGCCGTTGTAAGCTGAAGAGCAGACCCACCCAAGGCTTTCCACACCCCTCAGCCCACCCAGCCTCTACCTCTACCTGGGAAACGCTGACAATCGATGATAATTGCCCCGCAAAGGCCGTATTTTCATCCAAAATACATTTCGATCCTGGAATCTGTGGGTCACAAGCCATGTCCAGTCAAGCGACATTGTAAGGTGAGCCATCCATGTGTTTCTTTCAAGCTCGATTCTTCAAACATGTGCCACGGTTTCCCAAAGCCACAGCTGAATCTCAACGCAGTGACGCCCCTTGTGTAGTGTGGGCGGCATGGAGCAGTTGATTGGACGGGCCGCTTGGCCCAAACCGATGTGATACCTGGCGTACCTGGTGTATTTGAGTTTTTTCCCAAAATTTAAGGCATGTCTGCCATTCTATTGAGTTTTCATGAGTTTTCCTTATCTTTGACATCCATGCAGAATTCCGTAGATTGAAATACCATGCTCTTTGAGAGCCTACATCTACTCCACTCATGGGGGTGGTTGGTGAAGGACCAGCTGAAAATTATTTGATGATCAGAGCAGTCACAGGATTCTGAAGATGAAAGTGATGAAAGATAAGATTCTGGCCAATGTGGGTTGGAATGGCATCCTGTAACGTGCATCCAACATCCAAGCACTTGATGGATGCATAAGGCAAAGTTCTCCGCGAAGCTCGGGACCCCCAGATCTCAAAGCCGTCATATTTGTTGACACTGCCGAAGTATTTTGTACACAGCTACGTACATCGCCGCAGCAACACCATTGGTGTATTACTGATTTACTGTAGATCTCCAAACATGTCGTTGCACCATGTTGAACCGTTGAACCATTTCAGTGGACTTCAACCTTCGAGTCCCAAGATGTGTGAAGAACGAGATCCACAACATCCTTACTACGCTGGGGCCTCGAACAAAGCTACGAAAAAGCTGAAGGTCCGAAGGTTGGTAGCTTGTCCCAGCTTGTCCCTTGTGGCCGTGCCTGGGGCCTTGGGCTAGCACCCCTGGATGCTTGGGGCTAGCCATTGAAACTACCATAATTTCCGCTGCTTTGCTTGGGTCGGGGTGGAGGGATCTGTAGAGAGGCTGTCGATCCAAGACCAGAAGATCATAAGTCAATCCTTCTCAAGCAAGAGACTAGAAGAACAAGGAAGAACGCCTATTATTGAGTAGTTTCAGGAAGAATAGGAAGACTGGAGGATGCCGCACATCTTGGTACATTAAGGTGGCCACAGATGCGGAAGAAAGTTCTTGAAGGAGTATGGAATTTAGATATGACGATGTAGGATATTTCGAGTTATTTCAAGTGATTTAATGTTATTTAATGTTATTTAGATATATTATGTTATATTATGATAATGTTTAATGTTTAGTTCCGCCGCATTCAAGACAGGCTGCGCCTGACGAGACCCACCCATGGCAGCAGCCCACAGGCAGAGCACTTCCTTGGCGAATGTCCAACCATTGTCCAACCATGTTTCCTTTGATGCCAGGCCAAGTTCCACATAGAGTCACTGAAAGCGTTGGGGACCTGGTGGCAACAGTGGCAACCTGGACTCCCAACACTGGCGTTGGAGCCTTTCTGATTGGAATGCTTCACTTCATCTGATTCACCGCGAACTTCAAGCAGGTTCATCATGGTTCATCCACAGGGTACTGGTGGAAACCTGACATAACCTGGCCACCATTGGCACCTTCTCATTGGACAGTTCAGTGACTTCAGTGGCTTTGGTCCAAGGTTTCAGAAGCTCTTTGAGGAGCTGACGTGGGGGTCCCAGAGTCCCAGGTGCAAAGGGTATGTTTGAGGCCATTCCTCCCATATCTCCAAAATCATCTGAAATTCGGGACTATGATAAATTTTGATGCACAAAACATACACAACTCATTTCATTTCAGCTGGCCAAGTCACAAGCTTGTGACCTGATGTGACCTGATGTGACCTGATGGTGCCAAGGTACATGCACGAGCTGCATGAGTTTGACATCGTCGCGTATGTGGGTCCCTTCCTGGAGGTCCAGACCCGGTCGAGTAGCGATGACTAGTGTAGTCGTGTGCTTTCTTACTGTTTGCTCAGTTTGCTCCAAGATACACCAAATACAAAATGTGTTATGACATAAGAATGATCGCAGATATCGAACCTCTTTGTCGAGGCTCTCCTGGCTGTTCCCAGAAACCTCAGTGAATTTCAAGCTTCCTTTTGTTTTGGGCAATGTCAGGTCATCCAGTCCGATGCCACTTCTGGGGAGCTGACGGCTGCCTGGAGCACAGACTGGTACAGATGGGACGGGAGTGCGTGTTTGCATCTTCACAATTTCCAGACATTTCCAGACATTTCCAGACTCCAGATGACCATCCATCAACATCAACCCATATCAACCCCATAGCTGTGAAAAGCCGCAATGAAATCAGGGTGTGGCTTCACTAGGCGCTGGACCTGATGATCTTGATGTTGAAATCTGCCAAGGTGGCGCTGGAAGCCGTGGACAAATTTGTGGCCCTGGCTACGTTGAAATCTCCCAAGGGGCGAAGATCAGATCGATCAGATCCAACGGGTATCAGAACGGACCCGACGCCAGGTATCCTTCGGCTTGGTTCATCCGGATTCTCCCAAGTCGATGGAGGTGCTGAACTTTCTCCATGGGGTGTTGCTCCACATCCAGCAAAATCAAGATAAATAACCGATAAATCAAGGATAGCAAGGCACATCTCGGCTGAGGCGATCAATACGGTTGCCTGGGGGGTCATCAATTGCCGCTTTTTGTACCTCGGCATCTCTGCACTGTCGTAATTTGATTCAAAAGTCTACTCCGTGCCCGGCACTGATGCTGAAACACACTGCCGTTTGTAAAGAAAGCACTCACAGAACAAACATATTGGCCTTTTGCATCTCAGAATTTGGGACCTTCACAGGATTTGAAATGTTGATTTCAGTGGATTTGAGGCAGGCTTTGCCATGCCAGTTGCGACTGGGTTCCAAGGTCTAATGGCACGGCAAGCGACGAGGTGGTTCTCTTGAAGATGGTGGGATGCCCCATGCCGCGTTGTGAACACTGCACCATTGAAAGCGACACGTTTATGACATGGAAACCTTGATTCTCAATATGTTTGCTGCCTCATTCCGAGATGCTGTATATAGACTCCATATGACTCCATAAGTTCTAGCAAGATGACAGGCTCCAGACAATACTGAAACTGAATGCACCACCTGCCCACAGCCGTGTCAGATTAAAGGTGATCACTCCCCACTTAGACTCGCGTGAAACGATGACTGAATCCCTGCAGTTCGTTGGCACCCTGACGGGCCACCGCAACTGGGTCACTGCCATTGCTTGCACTTATGAGCAGAGCAACCTGGTGGTGTCTTCCTCCCGTGACAAGACCTTGATGATCTGGGAGCCCACTCCTGATGGTGAGAATCCTGGCTATGCTCGCCGTTCCCTGCATGGCCACGGTGAGTGCGTTGCCAGTGCTGTGCTGTCTTCCGATGGCCAGTACGCCCTGTCTGGATCCTGGGACAAGACCATGCGCCTCTGGGACCTGAACACTGGCTCTACCATCCGAACCTTCAAGGGCCACACCAAGGATGTGAACAGCGTGGCATTCTCCGGTGACAATCGTCAGATTGTGTCTGGCAGCCGTGACAAGACCATCAAGCTCTGGAACACTTTGGCAGAGTGCAAGTACACTATCGTGGATGACATGCACACGGACTGGGTGAGCTCAGTCGGCTTCTCCCCTTCCGCCAAGATGCCTTTGATTGTGTCTGCTGGCTGGGACAAGCTCGTGAAAGTGTGGAACCTGAACAACTGCAAGCTGCGCACCAACTTGGTTGGCCACACCGGCGTTGTGTACACCACCACCGTGTCCCCTGATGGTTCCCTCTGCGCTTCCGGAGGAAAGGATGGCACTGTGATGCTGTGGGACGTGAACGAGGGCAAGCACCTGTACTCCCTGGATGCCGGAGGCACCATCAATGCCTTGACTTTCAGCCCCAGGAACTACTGGTTGACTGCGGCCACTGACAATTCCATCCGCGTTTGGGACTTGGAGAACAAGCAGGTGCTTGAAGAGCTCAGTGCCATCAACCCATCCAAGAACGGCATCCCTTGGTGTGTGTCTTTGTGCTGGAACGCTGATGGTAGCACCTTCTTTGCAGGCTCTACCGATGGCAACATCTATGTTTACAAGGTGGATCAGCAGTGAGAGTCGTAACGAGTGGGACGGAGTAGTAAGACCCTGCTACCGACTGCCGGGCCACGCAACCGTGGCGCCGGAGGAAGGAGAAAGGGGGCAGGTGCAGAGTTACGCCTCAGGGACCGGCTACGGATGGAAGACCAAAAAGGATGCAGAGAGAGCTTGCTGCCTAGTTCATGATTTGTAGTCGTTTTCCACATGGCATATCATGACTGTTGTGAGTTTTGGTGTCACATACTATGTCTATTATATGTTTGTATTATATATTATATACACATACATATATACATATACACATATACACATATATACACATATACATATACACATATGCACATACATATTAAACAAGACATATTTTTCTCAGTTAGTGCTTGGACAGACACAAGAGCTGTGTCATGAGATGGCAGTTGACTAAATGAAGAGAAGGATGTGTGGCATGTTATCATTTTTATGATCATTTATCCAGTGCTTGTTGCGCAGCTGTGTCAGATTAAAGGTGATCACTCCCCACTTAGACTCGCGTGAAACGATGACTGAATCCCTGCAGTTCGTTGGCACCCTGACGGGCCACCGCAACTGGGTCACTGCCATTGCTTGCACTTATGAGCAGAGCAACCTGGTGGTGTCTTCCTCCCGTGACAAGACCTTGATGATCTGGGAGCTCACTCCTGATGGTGAGAATCCTGGCTATGCTCGCCGTTCCCTGCATGGCCACGGTGAGTGCGTTGCCAGTGCTGTGCTGTCTTCCGATGGCCAGTACGCCCTGTCTGGATCCTGGGACAAGACCATGCGCCTCTGGGACCTGAACACTGGCTCTACCATCCGAACCTTCAAGGGCCACACCAAGGATGTGAACAGCGTGGCATTCTCCGGTGACAATCGTCAGATTGTGTCTGGCAGCCGTGACAAGACCATCAAGCTCTGGAACACTTTGGCAGAGTGCAAGTACACTATCGTGGATGACATGCACACGGACTGGGTGAGCTCAGTCGGCTTCTCCCCTTCCGCCAAGATGCCTTTGATTGTGTCTGCTGGCTGGGACAAGCTCGTGAAAGTGTGGAACCTGAACAACTGCAAGCTGCGCACCAACTTGGTTGGCCACACCGGCGTTGTGTACACCACCACCGTGTCCCCTGATGGTTCCCTCTGCGCTTCCGGAGGAAAGGATGGCACTGTGATGCTGTGGGACGTGAACGAGGGCAAGCACCTGTACTCCCTGGATGCCGGAGGCACCATCAATGCCTTGACTTTCAGCCCCAGGAACTACTGGTTGACTGCGGCCACTGACAATTCCATCCGCGTTTGGGACTTGGAGAACAAGCAGGTGCTTGAAGAGCTCAGTGCCATCAACCCATCCAAGAACGGCATCCCTTGGTGTGTGTCTTTGTGCTGGAACGCTGATGGTAGCACCTTCTTTGCAGGCTCTACCGATGGCAACATCTATGTTTACAAGGTGGATCAGCAGTGAGAGTCGTAACGAGTGGGACGGAGTAGTAAGACCCTGCTACCGACTGCCGGGCCACGCAACCGTGGCGCTGGAGGAAGGAGAAAGGGGGCAGGTGCAGAGTTACGCCTCAGCTACGGAGACCAGCAAAAAGGTGCTGCAGGTACCTTTTGTTGTGCAGTAGTTTTCGAATAATCGCTTTGCAGCAGTTTCAGTTGTTGTTCAATGGAATTGGATGACACAGTTTGATGGCAGATGATGGCAGTCTTTTGCGCAGGTAGGGTTGCTCTTAGACTGCCTGAGATGCAGTGCCGGGCAGTACTTGAGCGATCCCTGCGTTTGGCACATGGCAACTTAGCTGCAGAGGGAGAGAATGGGCCCAACATTTCAAAATCTGAGGCTTGGAAAGCGCCACAAGCACCGAAGAAATCCTAAGAACTATTTACATTGAGGGACTGTGTTGGTACTGATCTTCGACATTAATCATTTTTCTATGCAAATTTTCGTTCAAGCTTCTAATGCCCATCAGAGGGAGCAAAACCCCACCTTACAAGCTTGCACTTGCACTGGATTGGACGGAAGCCAAGGTTCGCAAGTGCTTTCAGATTAGCAGACAGCCAAATGCCTCTTATTTACTGAGGCAGGGTCTGGGTCTCTTCATGTCTCTTCTGTGATTGTAGAACTTGCACTTTACACATTTACATCTACTTGTCTTGATTTTCACTGACAGATGCGCAAACCATCATTTAGCGGCAGCAAAGAGATACTAGTGTAGCACATATATAACTGCTCACACTTGGGTGGAGGCATGACTAGCATCATCACATCCACCTTGCCACTTTGGGAAGCTGTCCTGGTGCTGTCCCCATGTCACCATGTCGGAAATGACTGCCTCGTTGATGAATGGTATCCAGGAGTAGATAGAATATGATACCGGTAGAGTCTCGAATCAACCAAACACAAAAGATAGTAGCTTTGGACATATCCCTCCCTTTCAGCTATTTTCAGCTAAACTTATATCAATATATAATATACATTAATATACCTATAATATACCTATATATAATATACATATGACATAGATACAACATAGATATAACATACTTTTTCCATGCTCTTCCCATACTTTTTCAGAGGTTTATCCTTTCCCATGTCCATGGTCTCCAGGTCCTCGGCAGAAGGGATGCTTCAACAGCCAGCAGCCATGGATCCATAGGGATGGTTTTGAAGAGTCTGGATCCGCATGGTAAGGTTGAAACATGTTGAAACTACGGGATGACGGAATGACCCCTCTGGAATCTGCTGTTTTTTTCATCGGACATCTTTGCTTTTCTCTGCATGAGCTTGTGTTTTTTGTCCACCCTGACCTTCGCAAGGATGGTTTTGACCATTTTTGGTACGCAGAAGGACAGGGCTGTGGAAATTGGAATTCAGTTCAGGTCTTAGGTGAAATCCCTCCAAGAGCTCTTGGAGACATGGGTAGCCATGGGTCAAAACCACAAATTAGGACAATTTTGATCATAATTCATAATCATCTGAATCATTTGAATTACTTCACTATTCATGGAATCCCATTTTGAAGGCACCAAATTTTGACCCCCCCTCACATTTGGAAGCCACACTTATTGAAATCGTTGAACTCATGGAAGTCAGAACTTCGGTCGAAGCATTGGAGGAGCGATCGCAGCGCGTACGTGTGGAGAGCTCTGCCCCTGAGGCCGGGTGATTTCCAACAACGCAGTTTGGACTGAGGCACTGCCTAGGCAGTATACGCATTGGCCAATACGTTGAACGTTTCTTCAACGGGTCACGGCACCTGTGTCCCTGGGCCCCGGCTGTTGAAAAGCTGTGATTCTCTGCGAGGCACAGAGAGCTGAGCGTGAGCCCGGGTGCCTCGGGCGGGAATTTTCGGACGCCATGAAGTCGACGCCACGCAGTTCAGAATTGATCAATTTGATAAAGGGGATCCCCAAAGGGTTGAAAAAGCTGTGACATGGCAACCAAGGCCAAAGGGTCCGAGCCAAAAGTTGCAGGCTGTGGGAGAAACGAAGCAGATGCCACAAGTTATTTATATTCATTGTGTGTGCATGGTGTATAATTTTTTTCAAACTGTATGATATTTGGAGGGTTTCACTTTTTCACCTTGGCATTTGACGAGATTTGCGACTGTGAAAGCGTCACGATGATTGATTTCTTTTCCGCGAATCCTCATTCTACAACTCCAAGCTGGAAACATCCCACATGTTGCACGACCTTGAAGTGAGAACAGTGCTTTGCAAAATATATCCCAATGATTCAGCAGATATGCTGCGACATGCTTTACCTTTTTGCTGAGACATAAGTCATTCCATTTCCATTTCCATTTATCACCTAGGACCTAGGTTTGGTAGTGCATTTCAGGTCTACAAGCCGTATGGCTTTCGTGCCATGCATTTTGTGCTGCGATTTCTCGCCTTTCTGTTGGCCTATGGTCTGGGGCCTCAGAGGCAACTGGCAACAGAGGTGTGGCCGATGAAGTGTCCACCTTCCACAACACCTGGCATCCGTATGGCAAGCATTGTGGATGTAGCAAAATCACAGCATTTAGAATCTTAAAAGCTTCAGAATCTTAAGCCCTTCAGATACCTTTACAATTAGATTTTAGATTCCCGTTTGAATTCAGTGGAATGTGTGGAGTAGCAGAGGTATCAGTATGATATCATTTTTGCATATTTTTGCTACTTGCACCAATACTAAAGACATTAAAAAGAGCAAAGTTGTGTGACTCCCCCTCTCTCATTTCTCTCATTTCTTCGCGCAAATGCACGGATTTGAACTCTCCAAGTGGGCCATGCGACAAAGATGAGCATGGTGCGGCCGCGGGCGATCTTTGGTCGCCTGATCCTTTGCAGTTTGGTGCTTTGTTCCGCCAAACCTTCGAAGAGGAAGCGAAATATCCCCCATGGGGCTGTTAAGATCAGCTCAGATGTTTACTGTGTGCCAAATCCTCCAGCTGCTTGCAGCAGTTTGCACACTGGGAAAGAGCAAGCACAAGTGCATCACACATAAGACACATAAGGAAGTAGTGACAGTAGTGACAGTAATGACATCGGCAGTTTCTCACAGTTTTGTGTCACTTGCCACTGGAAAAGGGCCAAGTTTTTGAAGGGCTGACTCCGAGGTTTCGGAAGGGCTGTGTCACTACGGTCCTGAAGTGACTCAGTGGCTGTACGATTCGGCCTTTCAAAAGTTAGACCTCAACAAGTTGAAGCGAAAGAAGCGGAAAAAGGCCAAGAGGATCATGGAGCCTTGCCACATTGGTACCACATTGGTACCACATTGGTACCACAAGCTTGCCAAACAAAGGCGGTAAGATGGTGGAATGCTTTCAGAATCATTAAGACTCATCGATAATATACACCATATGTGATATAATTATACATAATGTATTATATAATTATATATATATATATGATTATAGATATCACACACACACATATATATGTATATATATATATATATTATGTATATACATACGCACACACACACATACATGTATGGTATATATTATGCACATCATATCTATTCCACTAAAATCTTGGATTTCGCAGTTTTCCAAGGAACAGTCTCCGTGCCTTGGACGAGGAGGTGACTTCCCTCCTGTGCGAAGACACGCTGGTGACCCGGATTAAGGGTTTCGCTGGAGGTTTTGCCGTGGGAAATGGACCGGAAAATGGGAAAACACAGGAAAACATATGTTGGAAACGGGTCTATCTCGCTAATTTTCAATAGCATAGAACGAAGTGAGAGATTCATTGCAGAGGAAGAAACGCTTGGGAATGGAAGGCCATGGTTGGCCTCTAGTCCCGAGGCAGCAGGTTTTCTTTGTTTGCGACGAGGTGATGTATAGAGGACAAAATCGGACAAAACGTGCGAAATCTTTAAGCGACATTTTTCAAATTGCTTCTGAGGCTACCAATATGATGTCTGCACCTTCCAAATGCTAACGTTCAAAGATGACTTGGAGCCTCAATCGAATTAATCTTGGAAACTCCAGCGTGGTTTCTGGATCATGCATTGGCGCTACTTTGCCAGGGAATATAAGAATTGAAACCAATCCTTGGCGGCCAAAGGGCTGACTCTTTTGGCATCCGCTTCAGTTTTTGATCCCGCCATGCACCGCCTCTGCCCAGGAACCCTTCAAAATCTTCTTTCCCAGCGACTTGGTGGAAATGCACTGGAGTCCCTGGTGGCTTGTCATCCAAATCTGATTCTTTTGCCGACAGCTGATCCTAGGTGATGATCAAGACAAGAATTTTGGCTGCACTGGACCAACCTAGTGACTAGTGGGAGCTTACAAATGTGCTTTTTTTGAAAAAAAAGCAATTATGGTCTACGAAGGGCTCTCCATCAATGCAGTGTTTCTTGTCTCATAATGGTCCGGGCTAGCCGGAATTGTTTCATGGAAAAGATATGCCGGCAACATGCAGACAATGCTGCCAGGATAGTGGAATGCGACGTCTTGCCGTGGCTGATGAGATTTGCCACAGATGGAACGCCTGGTCTTGCGATTGACATTGGAGCTGGCGATTCCGGATCCTGCCCTTTGCTTTTTTACTTAACTTTGCACGAGACTTTCAAGTGCTTTACTGGAATGGCAAGCCAAGAACGTTCTTCTGTTTGAACTTGTTTGCAATGAGCTGCAATGACTCAGTGGAGTGGACTTTGAACCAGCAATTCCTGTTCTCCACGATGAGCTTGTCAAGAATCGAGTACTTAAAAGCTGTCAAGAAGATCCTTCAAAGGGCACGGTAGACCAATGTATATAGGCCATCTGTGATAGTTGCAAAGCTCTTGAAAGAAATGACTCAGGTAGCTGGCCGTTACTAAGTGAAGGCCATGAAGTGCACATGTTCGAATCTGGTTATGCCAATGCTGTGGAACGGAGCTTTGTCGAACTTACAAGACCCTCTACTGCAAGAGCTGCATGGAAGGAAATGAATCAGGGCAGAGGTAGACAAGATCCAGATGATGAACCAGACAGTTCGGGTCATCACCGAATGCTAAGGAGATCTCAATGAGTGGCAGAAGAAAGCGACTTTGCACGGCGCTGTGACAAGTGACTCCTATGTCGAGAAACTCTTAGAGAACACCAGTGACATGGTGTCAGATGGTCTTAGATTCTTTTAAATGGCACCCATGGAAGCTCCTGTGACACCATTTGGGTTGACTTTGTGTGGGGTAGAGCAGGTTGGGATCAGATTTTGGATCTGCCCAGAAAATCAAGATGCGTGCAACAAAACTCAAGCTCCGAATATCAGACTTTGGAGCTTCCAAAATTGGGTTTCCTTACCGAGCGATCAACATTGCCAACAGTGAACATGCTCAGGTAAGATACATCTATTGAAGATCGATGTGGATGGTCGTGAGGAGTATGAAGCAGTGTTTGCAGGAGTCACACCGGTTCTCCACAAGGTTGAAATCCTTCAGATAGAGATGCTGGAAGAAGAGATTGGACGACACGGTATGATTTGGATTATGGACACCTTCCTGTCGCATGATTTCGTGATGCTTGGACCGCTTGGAGACAATCAGATCATTGATTGGGGTCCCATGTTGGCTTCAACCTCATTGGCTTCGTCCACTGGTTGTTCAAACATTGAGTATGTGAGAAATCTGTTGCACATCTTGCAATAGTTGGCAATAGTTGGCAAGTTTAAGATTGGAATGAACACTTGCTGATTCTTTTCACAGGTTTTGGCTCAGATCTCAGGATGTTTGGTCTGGAAGATGTGGAGACTTTCCCAGGTTTTCAGCATGATAGCCTTGGGCGAGGATGCCAAGAGGGTGATATGCCCTCAACGATGCACTCAGAAGCAGTGATCGACGGGGAAGTTGAGTATGAATATGGGATGAATGGTCCAGGCAAACTCCGTGTCTCGGACAATTTTAGTGCTTCCAGTGCTTCCATATGCAATCTTGTGGCAGACCATGGCAGACCAACAGTTTGGCTCATATTGTGGTAGTGCTGCAGAAAAGGCCTTGTCTTCCTGCTGAAAGCCATGATTTTCAAACAGAACATTTCGTGGTCATATTTGGTCTGAGGTATGTTTCCCATCTGCAAATGTGATGGCAACGTCGTTGGACCGGGGCGTGGAAGCAAAGATCCTTTGGCCTGACCCTTGGATGCAGCTAAGATGCAGCTAAGATGCAAGAGAAGAAGAGCTGGCTGATAGCTCTGATAGCTGATCGCAGCATCGGTTCACGAATCAATGCTTCAATGGGATGCCCGCCCAGCTGAGGCCGTGCCCAATTCGCTTTTGTCAAACGAGATTCCGATTCCGCTGCGAAGGTGACACATCTTTATGGCTCCTGCGAAGCTGTGTGCGCGAATGTGAAATCGGAGCTTTGAGACTTTGAGATCGGGGGCTGTGAGCTCCGCTGCGAAGTGCAGATGAGAATGGTGGAAAATGCTGAAAAAATCTGCTGGAATTAGCTGGAATTGGAAATGAATAGGTTGGATAGGCTGTTTTGGCATTTGTTTTGCCACAGCAATATGGCTTCCCCGGAGTTGCCTGTTAAAAAGTCAAGGTACATAGGATTTGAAATATAACTGGATTGAACATAATATAGTATATATATAATAATTATGAATATGATATCACTGGTCTATTAACACATATTGAACTACTGGGCCCATTGGGTCCATTGGGTCTCAGCAAAGGTCGTGGTGCCGTGGACAAGGAACAGAAGCATCGGACGGTGCGAGTGGGGTCACCTGGTGCGACTCGCAGAACGAGCGCTCCGAAAAAAGGGCACCAACTTTGCCCAGGGATTGAAGATACAGGTTTAAACATGTTTAAACATGTTAAACATGTAATGTATCTATATATGTATATAGATAAAGGATGATGTTTGGGAAGAATCATTGAAAACCACTTCATTGACCTCAGAGTAGAAAAAAATCATCAATGCCTTTTTTGGCGTGAGATTGACAATCTCAGGTGCGCCGCCCTCGATCTCGATCCCCAAGCCAAGACCGGACTAGGCCGAGTGAAACGGATGAAGTTTCAGAGCACGTTTCCCTCTCAGGATTCACCAAGGTTCCTGTTCGAAATGGTTAACCATTTCGAATACTAGGTCTACTACTTGTAGGTCGCTAGGTATCAAAATCTTCGAAATTTTATTCACTCAAGATACTCTTAGGTGATATTTTGATATATTTTGTCAAGATGCTCTTTGCGTCATTTGCTGCTCATTGCCAGAGGACAGATGGAAGTCCGGAGGACACCTGGGAGTCCTGGGAGCTTGGGAACCCCATGGGAACCCCATGGGAACCGGGCCCGACTCAGTTCGACTTAGAATGGATTGGACTTATTGTGAGCTAGGGCCGTGAGGCTTTCTTTTTTTTTAAAATTTCAACAATTTGGGCAAGGAAATAGAGGTATCACCGTATATCATTATATAATACTCTATATACATCTATATACAATATCTATTTGTACACACAATGTTTTATATATGATAGATAGTTGTGACACAGATACATACAGATATCTATCTACATACTGTATATATGTATATATATGTATATATCTCGTATGCGCACGTAGGTCGGGTATGTTGGTTGAAGTCTGATTTCTCCATGGCAGGAGGGGCCACCAGACCTCGGGCTGACTGATGCAGCAGCGGTTGGAAAGGAGGCGACGCATTGGATCAATGGCCCAGCTGCCAAAAACAGTCCTCCAACTGTGGGAAAACACATTGGAAAAACAACCTGTTGAGATTCCAGGAAAAAAACACTAGTCAGTAGTGAGGCATCTGATGCGCCAGGATAAAACTTCGGGTGCAGACAATGCTGGTCAGACTAGAACCCAAATATCCCAGCTGAGACACTTGACAAGTCACTGCATTCGGGTCGTGGAGTCATTGCATTTGCCTGTCCTGCAATGCCGGGCCACTTGTTCAACATCTCTAGACAAATGCAGAAACCCGTCTCCGTCCAGAAGCATGGTCATTTCCTTTTCCGACTGCGCTCATGCTTGTTTCCCTGCCTTTGAACTCGCCTCACCAACAAAATGCATCTTGATGCATCTGCGAATTGATAATGATGAAAATACAAGAACAGAGCACTGGACGCTGAACACCAGTGTTGAGAAGTTCTTGATTAGATTTTCTGAACATGGTCAGAAACTGGACAATGCTTGATGTAATTTGCCTTGATTCTGGTTGTTCTTGCTCAGATTCACATCATAACATTCCGCCAGTGATGTCTATTGAACCATGCTAATTCCGATTGAGACAGTGACGCAGACTGTTGTCATCCTTGTACTGAGGCTTTGAATTCATATTCCACACGTATTTCCGTCATCCTTGTATTTGTTCATGACCAGTGATTGTGACAATGATGAAAATACAAGAACAGAGCACTGGACGCTGAACACCAGTGTTGAGAAGTTCTTGATTAGATTTTCTGAACATGGTCAGAAGCTGGACAATGCTCGATGTAATTTGCCTTGATTCTGGTTGTTCTTGCTCAGATTCACATCATAACATTCCGCCAGTGATGTCTATTGAACCATGCTAATTCCGATTGAGACAGTGACGCAGACTGTTGTCATCCTTGTACTGAGGCTTTGAATTCATATTCCACACGTATTTCCGTCATCCTTGTATTTGTTCATGACCAGTGATTGTGACAATGATGAAAATACAAGAACAGAGCACTGGACGCTGAACACCAGTGTTGAGAAGTTCTTGATTTGATTTTCTGAACATGGTCAGAAACTGGACAATGCTTGATGTAATTTGCCTTGATTCTGGTTGTTCTTGCTCAGATTCACATCATAACATTCCGCCAGTGATGTCTATTGAACCATGCTAATTCCGATTGAGACAGTGACGCAGACTGTTGTCATCCTTGTACTGAGGCTTTGAATTCATATTCCACACGTATTTCCGTCATCCTTGTATTTGTTCATGACCAGTGATTGTGACAATGATGAAAATACAAGAACAGAGCACTGGACGCTGAACACCAGTGTTGAGAAGTTCTTGATTAGATTTTCTGAACATGGTCAGAAACTGGACAATGCTTGATGTAATTTGGACTTGATTCTGGTTGTTCTTGCTCAGATTCACATCATAACATTCCGCCAGTGATGTCTATTGAACCATGCTAATTCCGATTGACAGTGACGCAGACTGTTGTCATCCTTGTACTGAGGCTTTGAATTCATATTCCACACGTATTTCCGTCATCCTTGTATTTGTTCATGACCAGTGATTGTGACAATGATGAAAATACAAGAACAGAGCACTGGACGCTGAACACCAGTGTTGAGAAGTTCTTGATTAGATTTTCTGAACATGGTCAGAAGCTGGACAATGCTTGATGTAATTTGCCTTGATTCTGGTTGTTCTTGCTCAGATTCACATCATAACATTCCGCCAGTGATGTCTATTGAACCATGCTAATTCCGATTGAGACAGTGACGCAGACTGTTGTCATCCTTGTACTGAGGCTTTGAATTCATATTCCACACGTATTTCCGTCATCCTTGTATTTGTTCATGACCAGTGATTGTGACAATGATGAAAATACAAGAACAGAGCACTGGACGCTGAACACCAGTGTTGAGAAGTTCTTGATTAGATTTTCTGAACATGGTCAGAAACTGGACAATGCTTGATGTAATTTGCCTTGATTCTGGTTGTTCTTGCTCAGATTCACATCATAACATTCCGCCAGTGATGTCTATTGAACCATGCTAATTCCGATTGACAGTGACGCAGACTGTTGTCATCCTTGTACTGAGGCTTTGAATTCATATTCCACACGTATTTCCGTCATCCTTGTATTTGTTCATGACCAGTGATTGTGACAATGATGAAAATACAAGAACAGAGCACTGGACGCTGAACACCAGTGTTGAGAAGTTCTTGATTAGATTTTCTGAACATGGTCAGAAACTGGACAATGCTTGATGTAATTTGCCTTGATTCTGGTTGTTCTTGCTCAGATTCACATCATAACATTCCGCCAGTGATGTCTATTGAACCATGCTAATTCCGATTGAGACAGTGACGCAGACTGTTGTCATCCTTGTACTGAGGCTTTGAATTCATATTCCACACGTATTTCCGTCATCCTTGTATTTGTTCATGACCAGTGATTGTGACAATGATGAAAATACAAGAACAGAGCACTGGACGCTGAACACCAGTGTTGAGAAGTTCTTGATTTGATTTCTGACAACGTGGTCTGTTTGGGTCATGTTGGAGCCTTCATATCGTTTGTATGGAACTCCATCAGTATTATTTTGAGAGTATCAACACTAAGATGCGGATCAGCATTAATAGCCATGTTCTGACGAGCCCAAGATGATGTGTTAATGACAATTGAGTCAATGACTTAATGTTTAGGAAGTGAACTTCAAGGTTTCGTGGGGTGTTCATGTTGATCCTCTTGGCCCCAGAAAAGAAGTTGAATTTTATGTTTTCTGGGCAAAGTTTTTCATCTCTGCTGATCATGATGATCCCAATGAATATTGATTCAACTATTTGTTCGGGGCAAACAATCGGCTTCGTGCTTAAAATTGGATGCTCATCTTCTGTTAATTGATCTTAGTGAGACTGAATGGTGTGACAGATGCAATTTGGCCACATGTCAACGGATGCATTTGTCTAAAGTTCAGCACTGTCCGGTGCCAGGAATTAATGATGGACACACATTGTCCGGAAGCTTACCATGAAAGGTTGACAATAAACATGCTGTGTTTGGATGTGTTTGGTCTGGGCTGGGCACCCTTGGAATGCCTAGCTGCCTAGCTGCCTAGCTGTGTTTAGCAATAGCTATGCCAGTTGGAACCTCTCGGTTTTCAGGTCTTGGCCTTTCCCTGTTGAACGTTGCCTTGGAGCCACTGGGGCAGAAGGACAGAGACAACCGGTGCACAGAAATGATGACTTGGCTACGCTGGGCGTATTTTTGTAGTCTGAGGCTTTCCAGGATTTGGATTTAATTGTGCAATCTTGTGCATTTGGGGAACATTTGGGGAACATAATCCTTCTCATTTTCGACTCTCCCGAAGATTTGTGGAGTGGCATGATCTCGGCAGGAGTTGACCATGATCCATTTGGGGAAATATCACATCTGGATTCTGGATACATCTGGATACATCTGGATACATCCCCAACCAATTTAGTGACACTCGCGTTTTCTTGTGTGATCCATCTATCGAATCAGGTCTGGTGGTGACGAGATCGCTCGCTCCGATGACCTGATTGCAGTAATTCAGGAGCGGTTTGATGTGCGGTTTGATATACGGGAAAACATGGGAATCTTTCAACAAAAAACATGGATGGCATTTGGGCCTTTTGGCTGTTGTGGCGGCTTGAAATACCATGATACGAAGTAGTGATACGAGAAAGCCTCGACCTTGGCGGGTGTGCTGGGGAAGTTGTCACAGAAGGCGTTTGTGATGATTCGTGATGGATATTCTCAACTGCTGCTCCGATTCCTTTTAGCATGAAATGGTCCGGTTCCGATCTATATTGACTCTATTGCATCAGTGCTTTGGTCGTCTTATTATGTCTTAATGAATGTTTGCTGTTCGGAGTTTCTTTAAACGTTTTCCTGAACCTGCGATGGTGGGAAGTTCCTCAGGATGACATTTGCAAGTCATTGCTGCACAATTCAAGAACAGCTGGGGGCCAAAAACAGCTGGAGTTTCTAGTGCAGTGCGACGAGTGCGGCCGTTCCGACACTAAGGATGCACCATTTTTTGCCCCATGATCCAGACATTCCATACATTTCCATCGCAGATCATGTCGTGGTCGCCTTGCAGAGTAGGTGGATCTTGTATGATCTTGTTGCAATTCCTTCTCTTTGGCAATCTTGAATGATAAGAATGACAAATGGTTTCGATATGTTGCGACATAACGATATTTGTTGAGGCCTCACTCTCTGTCCTGTCGCTCACCTTGAGGGTGCCGCTCTGAAGTTGGGGATGGGATGGAGATTCGGAGGTTGATGGTTGATATATGTTGATATATGGTTCAGTTGATCAGTTCATCAGGAGTACGCTGAGAAGTATGCTGTGCATCACGTTCTGAGAAGATTCTGACACCGTGGGACAAGCTCTCCACCGCATGTGTCCGAGAAGAAACAGAGGCTTTAGGCTTAAGGAAAGATGGCAAGCTTTGCCCGTGGACTTGTTGCATGTATCTGTTGCAGTTGCAGTCGAGCGTGACTTGGCCACTAATACAACGCACAACTAAAATCAAATAAACATGTCTATAGCCTCTATAGCCATTGTTAATCAATCCAGCTTCCATTCACCAAGCCTCGAACATTGCGGGACTCCATCAAACCAGCAGTGCTTGAGGCGATTTTCAATCTTTTTCTCCACTTCAAGCGGCATTTGAAGGCGACTCGGGGTGGATTTCCTCGGGGTGGATTTGTATCTTTGTGACAAGGGAATAGCGACGGGCACCATTTGGATATCTTTTGAGTCTGCATCATCTTGGCGGACTATTGGGAGGACTTGACTTGTTCAGCCTAAAGTTGCAGGATATTTCTGTGATGATTGGCTCTGACTGCCAGGTGCAGCTTGAGATTTTCTTCACGTCCGTCCACCTGAAGATTGCAGGCTTATCCGTATCACAAACATTGCGGGCGGTCTGAATCCTGACAACCGTTTCTTAAACTTAAAGAGTCAGGTCAGAGAAACAGAAACAGTTTCAGCTTTTCCAGCCCAGGATTCATAATGATACATATATTATGTTGTAGGTGTTCATCTGAAAGTTCTTCTGACATGTCAACATCTTTGTTTGAACCCAGTTTCAGTTGGTACATGTGCCAAAGTGGTCAGCATGTTCCACGGTCTGAAAGGGGAGCGTTTCCAGTCAGCAGGTTGTGGGTCCGCCAGTTATGAGCAGCGAGAGCTGGCGTTGGAATCCCTTGTGGAGTGCGGCCCTCGAGTGGCCTGATAAAACAACTGACCTTCTGCCCTTCTCCCCTTCTAAGCCTTCTAAGCCTTCTAAGCCTCATTCATCTGGTTCCAACCTTCCCGATTTCTTCAGACAGTTTGCTTTGGGGCCTCGTGGTAGGAAGAGAAACAAGAGTGTACGGTACAAGGAAGAATAGAGGGGAAACTCTGTGCTAACCACTCAGGTCAAAAAAATAAAGCCAGGGACATAGGCACTTCACAAAGGATCCTATTTATTCAGACCATTAGAACTGCTGCTTTTTTTGTGGTTCCTCTCCTCGGCCATCAAGAATCCCCACATTCCTCTCTGCAAGCGATGAGATGAATGTTTTCGGCTGAAGGTTCTGCCGTGAGCCTTCGCTGATGCTGGAGCTCTACGAGAATTATGACTGCCACATGGCTTTGGTGCACAGGGGACATCCACATTCTGTCTCTGTCTTGTCAGCTTGTCCTGGAATGCGTCGCATCGGTTTTTTTTTGGCCCTCCAGATACCCCTGTTCTTAGTCCCGTCATACCATGTGAACCTGGCGGCGCATAAACTGCGCCATGGTCGTGTAGATGTCAGTGAGATCGGACGCCATAGGCATATGCAAGACCTCAATATACCTCAATCAGAAGAAGTAGATCCCGCAGTGACCAAGGCGATGTTCGGTGCACGAATCTTTTTGAGACTCTTGTGGCTTGGCATCGATGGACACTTGGTCAGATCCCAGTGGATTGTAATGGAACAGGATGTTTGATCCAAAAAGATCTTCAATATTCTGAATAATATTTGAATACATTCGGATATATCCTATATCCGAATATTATAATATAATTTAATATCATATATCATTATATATTTTATATCATGATAGATCTACTCTATAGTTCCACTATGTTCCGCTAAAAACTCCGTATGACATTCTCAAACTCCGTCGCTCCGAGGCGAAATTTTTGGTGACGCGTGGCGTGCCGCCGGAGGAGGGTCAAGTGGCTGGGCTTCAGACGGACAGATTTTGGCCCAGCGTTTGGTGGTCCCCCCGAGATGGTGATGGTCCCTATATATACTGGGTGTGTGTGTATCTATATGAAGTGTATATGTATTATGTATAGATATAAGTATATATATATATATGTATGAATAGGTGTATGTACGCGTGCAGTATGTGCATGTGCAAATATATACAATATGTATATATATATATATATTTACGTATAGTTACATACATGTATGCATGTATGCAATGTCATGTAATGTAATGTAATGTAATATGATATGATATGATATGATATGATATGCTACAATACAATACAATACAATACAATGCAATACAATACAATTCAATACAATACAATACAATACAATACATAATAATATAACATAATATAATATAACGTAATACAATACAATGTAACGCAAGGTAATGTAATGTAATGTAATGTAATGCAATGTAATGTAATGTAATGTATATATATATATATACATACACGAAACTCAATTGAAAGAAAACAGTGAACATTCCATTTGGCTTTTTGATGATGACCCACTAAGTCATATTTAGTAATATTTTTTGTTTCCCACCCCCGACCGTTGTGCACTTAGGCACGGGGGAACTTCACTTCTCTCCACAAGTTGGCCTTTAGTGGACTTATGTCATGGCCTTAGAGTCGGTCTGAAGATCACCATTTTGGACCGGACTTAGCATCAAGATCAGCGATGATTCGATGATCGTGGAAAAAGGTGCATTCCGCAAGTTTTCCTGGGCTCTGCTTTCTATCCCCAAGTAGGTGTGTCCAGTGCTCGCGACTGGATGGCATCTATGCAGCCTGCACAGCATATTTCGTGGCGCACGTTGACAAAGAACAGGTCTTTGAGCAAATTTATGAGTGCAGTGAACCGAAATCCAGAAAGTTTTGACCTGTTTGTGACGCGCTTACGTCGATCCACCTACCCAGACATTTGTGGGACAGTTGCTGCGATGCCGGACGTTGAACCTGATGACGCTGCAGATTGTCACGCCAGCTTGTCATGCAGATTGATGCTCCAACCTCCAATTTTTGCATCCAAAGAATGCAATCGCCACATCGTCAGCTTGTGATCAGCTTGTAGCGAGGCGGGGCAAGACTCGCAAGCCTCGATTACAGCCTCGATCACAGCCTCGATCACATCAGCTTTCTTAGGATGCACAGGAGTTCTAGATATTTCAAGATATTTGGAGATTCGAGATTGCACATGGTTTGATTCCAAACTTTCTTGAATACAAGCAGCTTGAGAATAGAAAACTGTCGAACATCTAACTCATGATGTTCAGCAGAGCCTAGAGTAGCCAAACCGGCCAAACCCAATTCCCACACCTTTCTGCGCACACCCACATCAATAATTCCAGACACCTTTCATCAGATCTCATGAATCTCGTATTATCTCATTAAAAGCATCAAGACGTATCACCACAGCTGTTCCGACGTCTATTTCATCATAATGGGATGCATTGCAGATCAGGTGTTGGGTTTGAAAGCAAAGAGGGCAGAGATGGTCTTCATGATCGCAATGTACAGAGGTCCATCCCCTCAACTTAGTGCTTTCTTATTCTATGGAATGTCATTGGAATGTTTGAAATTCCTAAATTGCTAATCTTATTTGATATTGCAAACTATTATTGCTAAGATTTGCTAAGTGCAATGGACATATTCCGTGTTTGCACCTGTACAGATCAGTTTTCTCTGAACATTTGTTGCTCAATGCTTCCAGGATTCGAAGGAGTTGAGCAAGCTGTCAATCGATTGTCAGCATACCCATCATTCCATCAGTGGAGTGAACTAGTGCAATTTTAGGTAATTCATACGCAAATATGGTCAGATTTTCTGTCATATATGCAAAGGACGCTTCTCGTTGCAGCGATAGCAAATCCACTTGCTGCGCTGACACCCTTGTGTTGTGGCCACGCATAGTTGTAGGTTGGTATTTAACCAGGATGTAAAAACAAAAATAACAAACATGATAGCACGAATCCTGCATGTTAGACATTCAGAAATTACAGTGGCTTCGCCCAGAAACCCAAAGGAGTTCAAATCATGTCAACTGAAGCAGTGTGAGTCATGTCAACTTCATACTGGGCCATGTAGGCGCACTCCAACTCTACGGTGCTATAGAATTCTGCAGTGTGCAGGATCGTCATGTGAATCACTTGAGAGGTTCTTTCCAATCTCACTAGCATATGTGGTTTTGGACACGTTGAGAATCCTGAGGTCCATTCTGCATTCTTTGTCCTTGCGTTGCGCTTCACACAAGTCCCAGAGCCCCAGATCAGAGTAGATTGCGACTGGTGCGAGTATACCCAGTATGCACACAGTATGCTCTCTTGGGTAGGCAGCATTGGCTGCAGGCAAGGGGATTAGAGAGTCCAGTGAGGAGTCCAGTGGCATCCAGAGTCTAGAGAGAAGACCTAGATGGACAAGGATGGACAAGGCTTGACCTGGAATTAGAGTGAATTAGAGTTGCAAACAGAAATTCTTTGACAAGGACTTTAGCACTCCTGTAAGCACTTGCAAGCTGTGCATAGCTGTGAAGCCTGTGAGACACCGTGACGGTCGCTGAGGCATTTCCGGCGAGATCAGCTGGAGACGCTGGAGCAAGGACCCGTGCGGAGCCCCGGCGACGGCGTTTCGTTTGGTCTGGATGCGGTGCCTTTTGACACGACCAAACGAAATGTCAGCTCTGTCACCTTTCTGTCAGTCCACGCCAAGCTCCGGGGAGACTGAGCTGCGAAGGAAGAAGGACTGAGACCAACGAGCCACCGACGATATGTGGACAACTCGCAATGTGACTTAGTGACTTAGTGACTTAGTGACTTGTATGATCAAACACCAAAAAGCTGGCGACTCAATGCCATGATATGAGGTTTTTCTGTGAAGCTTTCAGACTACACATGGACTTGTAAGGGCAACACTGTTCACCAAAACACTTTGTTACTACTGGTTTGGCCACACCCCCAGTAGTAGTATTATTTGTTGAAGTAAGTAACCATTCTGCTCCAGCTTTCTACGGTGTGCTCTTGGGTTATTGGTTTCACTGTGAAATCAGGAGCAAAAGAGACGACTAACCATCGCGGCTCCTAGACTCAGCACATGATGAGACGATAGAGTTGAATTGCCGCTGGCATCTTGTTGGCTTACGGAGAGTTACCTGCAAGATTAGGCAGTTGGAAAGTGATGCAGGACATTCATTATGTAGATCTTTATTCCTTTTGTCTCACGTATGCCAAACTCTAAGCTCCGCTTAAACATGATGAGTCAATGATGAGGATTGATGAAGTGGAGCTGCTTCCTCTGAGGCACGTACTTTCAATAGCGAGCCGTCACGGATCTCAGGACACTGACAGATATGACCAGGATCTATGCAAACGAACATTGACCTTTAAGGCCTTTAAGGCTCCAGATTCTCTGAAGGTGCATGTTTCGAGGACGTTGCATCTACCCTGATGCCATGAGATAAGCATGAATGATCACGAAAGTACAACCTCTCTGGTATTTGATTGTCATGATTTTTGATAGTTTAGGTTCTGGTGCTTATGGTGCTGTTTTTTCCGAGGTCAAAAAGCACTGGAGCCTTACAAAGCTTGGGGCTCTTGTCTAATCCGCTGACACCGGAATCCATGGCAGAGCTGCTTGGCGAATACAGGTGATGTCTTTTGGTGATGACCAGCCAAGAGCTTGATTCATGCAGTTGATTCCCGGCATGGTGCTATGGACCCGTCTGATAGGCCACTATAGGCTATACTGGTTTGCAAGATTTTGCTCAAGTTCACTCTCATACTCTCCTTGTTTCAATTTGAATCACATTGCGCCACCGCAACACCATCGTTGCCTCAGCCATACTGTAGCAAATTTACAGGGTTTTACAGAGGATTTTACAGAACAGTTTGGTGAGGTTCCTCCGCCATACGCCTGGCCTCGACATGAACATCGTCTGTATCTCAGTTTTATCAATATTGATATTATGTATATATATATACACATATCATACATACATACATACGTACGTACATACATACATACATACATCCATACATCCTTACATCCATACATCCATACATCCATACATCCATACATCCATACATCCATACATACATCCATGCATACATCCATGCATACATCCATGCATGCATCCATGCATACATCCATGCATACATCCATGCATACATCCATGCATACATACACACATACATGCATACATCCATGCATACATCCATACATACATCCATACATCCATGCATATATCCATGCATACATCCATGCATACATCCATGCATACATCCATGCATACATACACACATACATGCATACATCCATGCATACATCCATACATACATCCATACATCCATGCATATATCCATGCATACATCCATGCATACATCCATGCATACATCCATGCATACATACACACATACATGCATACATCCATGCATACATCCATACATACATCCATACACATACAATACATACATACATATGCATCATGCATCCAGACATACATCATACATACATACATACATACATACATACATACATACATACATACATACATACATACATACATACATACATACATACATACATACATACATACATACATACATACATACATACATACATACATACACACATACACACATACACACATACACACATACACACATACACACATACACACATACACACATACACACATACACACATACACACATACACACATAGAGAGATAGATAGATGGATGGATGGATGGATGGATGAATAGATAGATAGATAGATACATAGATACATAGATACATAGATACATAGATACATAGATACATGCATGCATACATGCATACATGCATACATGCATACATGCATGCATGCATACATGCATGCATACACAGACATACACAGACATACACAGACATCCATCCATCCATCCATCGATCCATCCATCCATACGTACGTACGTACATACGTACATACTAATAATAATGTCATACTGTTTTTTTACATTTACGTTTTCATTTGCATTTTATTTTTGAGAGTTTAGAGCCGAGTGCAGTGACCGTTGGTGACCACATGCGATGCAGTACGAGGTGGGTGAGTTCCTGGGCAAACGACATGATTTCAACGGCCAGGTTCGAAAGGCGAGAGCTTCGATACCTGTGATGTCTCGATGTTTGACGACTGTCGACAAATGTACTGTTTGCACTGTTGGATACTGTTGGTGAATCTTGGGTGGGCACACTTTTGCAAGACGAGAAAAGGTTTGAAACCGAGATTTGAATGTGTTATTCTTAAGAAGTCATGCAAAACAGCGGTGTTGATGTGCTGTGTTGTGGTTCTTGTCCAAAGAAAGCAGCTCTTAAGTGGAACCCCCAGAAAGTACTCGCTTCCTGCGAGGCGTTCCTGGACACCTTCCCCTTTGCAGGTGCAGAACGAGACATGGACAATCCGAGACATACGACAAGAAAATGATGGACATCTGTGGAAATTGTACTGGTCTTTTGCATGTGGAAATTATCATTCTGCGGTGCTGTGAAAAGACCTCATCAGTGAGTCAAGACTTGGAACATCGGTCAGTGATAGTAATGAGATGTGATGAGATATGATGAGTGCATGGCCTGCATGGCCTGCATGGCCAAGGCTTGGGCTTGGTGGAAGCTTTGCGTATCGTCCTGGCAACCTTTCGCTTGCCTGGGGAGGTGGCCGTGGGGCCGACCCATGGACCAACTCATGGACCAAGTCCGATACAGCAGGCTACTGTATAAGATCTATAGACTGCTATAGCAGGCTATGGAGATCAGAAAGTCTATGCCATCCACAGATTCTATAGGTTTTTAATGGTTTTTACATGTTTTTTGCTTGTGTACCGAGTTTACTTTTTTCATGTTTTTACTTTTTTTTGGGGCATCTGGGCTGCCACACGCATTTTCCCAAGATGGACTCCACAACGTCAGAAAGAGTTCTGAGAGTTCTGTTTGGGTGTGATCCAAACTTTGGTGTCATGAGAGACAGTCATCCCATGCTCTGAACCTCCACGGCTCCACGGGAAGCCATCGCAGCCTTGGCAACTCGGGAGGCTCAGTGCATTGATCGACTCATGGAGAGTTTTGCCGAGGTGGCGAGTTCTCCCGCTTTGTAAAACACATCAGATTTGGTGCATGCTGGTAAAACTGGTGCATGTTGGAGCTATTCTTTTTCCCGCTTTACCTGTTTTACCTGTTTTACCTTTAGTCTTTGACTGTTTCAGTCAATCTTTTCACGCCCAGCTGTCCAAATTGCTGTTGTGCAGTTTCTACTTGAGGCGTATTTCCGATCTCAACCAGTCGCAGATGGCGCTCGCTCTCAGCTCTGGGTTGCTGTGGAGGATTCTTGAGCTACACTTGCCCTGCACGATTTTTTGCTTCGTGGATCCACGGGACAGCAGTGAAGAGTGGCTGCGCATAGTACAGAAGTGAAGATGAAGTGAGATAGCACCATTTCATTGCGGCATTGTCTGTCTCAGGTGCGGCTGCAGAGGACAGGAGAAGGGGCTGTAGTGAAGGCGGTTGGAACGATAGCCCCTTTGCACAGCTCCACATCCGGGAGGACAAACCACAGAACCCTTTGGCTGTCACACGCATGGCCCTGAGATGCCCTGAGAGCTTGCCATAGCACCGTGCATATCGTGTAGCTGGCACCCTACCGCCGAAAGCGACAACTTGTGATTGCGTATAAGTATACGCAACCATGTTTATGCAGATTTATGCACTATGATTGCTTGACATGTCCTGTTTGTTCCTTTGCTGAAGGGATCGACCGAAGAATGCTCGATGATTATGTTTAGCTTGCTCACAAAAAGTGCACTGAAAGATTCGTCATTGACATTGGCACTATGGATGGCTTCAGATCCAATTCTCGAATTTCAGTCCTTTCAGGTTGGGTGCCCCGTGAAAGATCAGCGGAAGAGGACATTGGAGATCCGTATGACCAGCTTTTCTGTTGATGTGGAAAATAGCCGAGTATCACCAAAAAGCATCCATTCTTCAATGTAGTATCAACTGATTAACTTGACATATCTTGGCAATGACATTTATCGTACGTGGTCGTGGTCAACTTGGTTAACTTGGTCAACTTACATCTAGAATCATCTAGCCATATCCCTTGTCGCATCGTCCAGGCTGCTGACCGCGTCTCTGGTCAGGGTGGCGGCCCAGAAGACGGTGCTGGCGAGGCGCGGTGTAACGTCGAATTTGGCATTACACATTATGACACATCATGACACATCATGACACATGAAGAAAAATGAAACAGTCATGAAACAATCATGAAACAATCATGAAACTATAAAACAATCAAGGCGAAAGAACATGTTGGACACATTCCCTTCTTTTCTTTCAAGGCTAGATTTGACCAATGATGACCAATGTTTCCGGGAACATGCATCCATGCTGTCCATGCTCAATTTCCTGATCTCCATGACTTGGGTTTGAACCAGCTAGAGAATGGATGAGAATGGCTGATACGTCAGGAGCCGACTCGTGTGCCCATGGTGAGGGTCTCTCAGATGGCTCAGCTGAATCCACTGATCATCGTTGGCCCCTGCGATGGACTTACAGCTGTCCAATCTTGAAATCTTCACAGGCAAAGGTTCAAGCAGTACGATTCATAGCTGGGTAAATTACATTGAATTACCAGAAGACTCTCTTCATATTCTATGCATAGTTCATTAATATCATCAACGTATCTATAATCTATCTCTATGTATCAATGTAAGATGATGTAAGTGCACTGATTTTACGGTGGTTCCCTCGGCTGAGGCAAGCTCCGACACGATCTTCATTTTGGCCTTCTCAATCATCATGCTGAACACGGATTTGTGCCGCGGTATGGCGGGATGATCAAATCTGACTGGTGGAAACAATTGGAGACATGGGATTTGAATGTGGTATGATGGGTTAATAACATTCAATAACTATTGATAAACTGTGAATATTTCTTACTATTCTGACCGGATATGATTGGGTGATAAATTTGCTTTGAATGGTCCTCACGCTCTGTGACAGTGACTCTGCAGCTGGATATCTATCATTGCCGATCATCTTTGAAGATAACCGTAACCTCAGGGACAAGGATACACGTATACACGGTGTACACGTGTTGGCCACCCCACACCAGGGGGCTAAAAGATGAGGAAACCGTTGGCGCAAACTTTAAAAAGTGCTTTCTGTGAGGCACAATCCAGGGGTGAAGAAGAAGATGTGCCTTGAAGACTTCGTCCGCGTGACTCTTAGAATTCTGCTCTCGAGCTCCAGCAGGATGTTAGTCTCAGCATTTTTTGCTTTCACACAACAAGAAAAACGCAAATATGGGAGCTTCAGTTTCGTCCTCTTCACTTTTGTCTTTGCATTTTGGGCTACACGTGTTTACAGGTTTTCAAACCATTTCAAAGATGCCCAACGCTTTTGGATGCAGACATCACAGGCAACAACCGTGGCATCGATGGAGGGAAGGAGAGACGGCAATTTTGAGCTGCGTTTTTTGTTTTCTCAATTTAGAAGAACAAAATCATCACCCACTGAAGCTAGCGGACCCAGCGAGAGGATGTGATAGTCATAGTGTCTGAAGTTATCAACTCAATGATTGGAGTGAAGAGGATCTGTTGCCAGCATTTCTGTGGCAAAATGTGAGAGGACCTGCCACAGTATTTCTTGGGAGATATCTTTGAGGTGCAGAGCGGAAAGTCATTTGGAAAGTCATAGCGTGGGGGTTCAATATTGTGATGTGAAACTTTTGGTACCTCATGTCTCATTTGAATCGGACTCTTCCTGCATGAACTGCTGCAAAACCCATTCACATGTTGGCTTAATGGTCAAGAGAAGAGAAGTGATTGATGCGCCACAACTTGTACAACGTTTTATTTCTCATGTTTTCACATATTTTCTCATTTTTTCACATACTGCCGATGTTTTACGTACCACTTGTTTGACATTTTTTTTGAAGCTGTGATCCCGACACGGTGCGGGCTGTTGGTGCCTCTTTAGGCCATCCGAGACGATGAGATTCGACTTCACGGAGCCTCCAATCAGGTCAAAGCCTATGGCTTCATCATGGTTCATGAACCTGTCATGTTGAACTGCTGGATTGGGATCGGTTGGACAAACTCTGAAGGTTATTTGAATGAGTTCTCCTCTGTGGTATGAATATGGCACGGACATCAACGGAGGATTGCATTTCTATGGGATTTACTATAGGCATTGTGGGTATGTGTCGAACGTTGATAGTTGCGATGTAGTTTGGACATCCTGAAGGTGGTCGGAATTGCATCCCAAAGGTTGCCCTCGGAAAAAAATGGTTGAATTGGGACGGGTTTCCTATGAATTCCTCGGATTCGTCAACCTGGGCAAGGGGAAGCCATGGGAAGCCAATACATATTATCATCAAACATCATCCAAGAATGTCAAACGTCATCCAATAGTATCTTATAGTATCTCATTATATATATCCAATAATGTCGGATATAATATGTTTGAGAGTATCGGATATCATTGATATCATCTCTTGGTCAAATTCAAGTTAAGTCTGGGCATGTCCTAGCTGCGAACCCAGCACATTCTTGAGGCTGGTGACGACCAAGTCATTGACGATTTCTTCTGGGAAGGCGAGGCATTGAAGTGCCTGTCCACCGCAAATGGGATGGAAAGGAACAGAGATATCTCCTTCAGGCCAGCACCACATGGTGCTGGAAAAATTGGATCTTTAAACATGACAAGTATATTATTGATGTGTTCGTGTGTTTTGGAAGCCAAATCCATCTCAATTCTGTACAAGTACTTAGTTACTTACCCATTCCACTTCTGGATTTCAAGGATATTTCGCTTCGACCATCGGGACCCTTGGACCATGCAGCATGAGGCATTTTGCTCCGCAGCGAGAGCATCGATGCTTTCAGCACCACTGAGAGGCTCCTGTCAGAGGCGCTGCATGTCCGGCAAACAAAACACTACAGATCACTCCAGAGAACTCAGAAACTACACATGTGAAAAAAACATCAATCATCTTCAATCATCTGAAATCCATCTCAATCATCAACATGCAGAAGTTGTCATCCGAATGCCCGCATGAATGCGCCTTGCGTTTCGAATGGATCTCCTGGTCCCTTTTGGATTCGTTTGGCACCTTTTCATTCTCGACTTTAGCTGCCATTCCTCTGGTTTGCCCATCTGAGGCGCCACCGGGAACAACAGAGCGAGACATGTTCCAGGCCTGACATGATTCTGACCGGAAGCCCTTGTGGTTTATGCCAATTTGAGTGGTCATTCTGTCCTTTCTCGTCTTTTTGCACGGTTTCTCTTGGCATAGCCCTTTGCATGGTTCTTCTTGATGTAATCCCATGATGAATCCTATTTGCATCAACCCGCAAAAGATGCACACAAAAGGTGCAAAAATGCATAAAAATGCATAAACCACATTGCCTACCGTAAGATCACTGGCTGCTGAACGAAGACATACTGGCCACCTTTCAGCTGGGCGACCTGTAGAATATCATTCTGCATACAGCATAGATTCAGCCGTTTCAGGATGCCAGTGGCTTGCCAGTCAAGAAGGTTGTTTGGTCTCGCTTCAGGTGATCTTAGATTGCCAGCCCATGCCCATGTTGACGCTCTGCTACGAGTGGGCCCCTCAATTCCTGAACCGATTCACCGATTCATGGTGTCCAGATGTGCTCTTTGCTAGTCTCAACAGGTCTCAGCCATATGGGGCAACAAGCACCAGGTCACAAAACATCAAAAGCATCCATTAGGGTGGCACTTGTAGCCTGTAGATAATATGCTTAAAGTGAAATATTATAGAATATTATAGATAAGAATCTTCAAGTCAGACTAAACTGACTAATCCAAACCACTCTGGTGCAGTCTCAAAGCCAAGAGCTGCTAGATGCTGCTAGTGATGCATCGATTCCGAGGTCTATTCCGGATGCAGCCGTCGCGATGCAAGCCATGATGGGGTTCCAGGCTCCTGTACCTGTGAAGTGCTTCCTTCCCACAGATTTCGTAGTTTGGGACCCTTTGGGACGACAAATCCATGATGTCATGGCCTATTGCGTAGTGTTAGTACGTAGTGTTAGTATGTGTTATAGTCATGTGTTAGTCATATTACCCAATTCACAATTCGTACAGAATTCTGTGAGGACCTGGCACGCATCAGTGCCTACTTTGACAACTCAGAAACTGTGAGTGGATTAGTTTGAACCTCAGAGATGGGGACATGACAATGGTCAAACACTGCAGCTGTGCAGCTTTCTGCCGACATTCTTGAAAGCTTGACAATACTGAATTGGACATTGACACATCTTTTGGGAGAACAGGCCCATAGAGAGGTTGATTGAAATCTGCTGCGTTCGTAGCCCTCTGTCATGGACATTCATGTGGGTCTTCAAGCCCAAACCGCAGCTGCATCCACAGCAATCACCACTGGGGTATGCTTTCAAAAGATTCGTAAAGTCTTGGCGTTTTGATTCCAAGAGCATGAAAGGAACACCGGCAAACCTGTCACAATGCTTTGGTTGTTCTGTTTCCGCGACGTCATCTTGGGACTTGGGATACCTTGGGATACCTTGGGCTACTCGTACCTTGGCTCAGGTTCGGACCATCTTCCAGTACTGCTCCCGAGCTGCTGCAGGCGAAGAACTCAGTCATTGGTGGGTGAAGTCATGGTCCCGAGAGCTCAGGTGGCACTGTCACAGTGAGATGCCAAATTGCCTTGGGCTCTTCCGAACAATGTGCCTGGCACCTGGTGGTCCAACCTGATTTCGTTTCACATTATGTTTCATGGCAGCTGTGCTTAGGTCACCCACTTTGCCCCAATCTTTCGGGAGGTGCCCAGCGTCGAGCAAACCTGTCCTGCGACATATCCGACATATCCGCAACATCTGCAGGCGGAATGGCGCGGAGTTCTAGAGGTTCTGCTGCAGTTGTTTGGTGTCTCAGGAATTTCCCATCACACCATAGGAAATGAATTTCCATGTGATGGAGTGAGAGATGTGCTTGTCGTTTATCATTGTTTCAAGAGGTGTTGAAACACATTGAAACCAATCCCAGATTTCTCGTATCCACAACAATGCCTAAAATGGCAGTGAAACGTGGTAGTTGGATGTACTCTGTCAGAGGTAGTTGGAACATTGCAACAGATCCAACTGGCATTTTATCATCACATTACAACAGAGTTTCAATTTTCAGTCCATCGATTTGGTAAAGAATTGGGTTTCAATATGTTTCAATATATTTCAACCCATTTCAACCTGAATTCATTTGGCACTGAGGTGGGCCCTGGACTTGCTGTTTGGGTGCCCAGGGCGCCCAAGCTGTGGATCGAAACCGCTAAACCGCCACAGATCCGAGATCCAAATGATCCAAGACATCCAAGGCCTCCACATCTCTCGGAGTTTGATGACTTCTCTGGCACCGACGGCAAGCCCTTGGAAAGCCTTTGCAATATCAGGCGCGGAGGTGCACGGAGGTGCACGGAGATCACGGAGTCCTGAAGCTAGGCTTTCAGGCTGTTGCTTAAGATGTGCTACGCTGCTACATCGATCGCAGACGCTCGACAGGCCTCTGTACCCACCACCTGAAGCTAGCCGCACCGCAGATGCCGGGGAACACAGTTTTGCACCAGAATCAGGTTGTTTTGGATTTGAGAAAGGGATTGGAACGGCGTGGATACCAATTCACCATGTCTTGAGTCTTAACAACTGTCGTTGTGTTGCAGTATCTGCAGCATGTTTGTGTTATTCACGGAATCAGTGTTTGTTACTTTCCCTCCGGACCCCCAACTCCACAAGTTCAAACTGTCAATTCATCATGCCTCCCCTAGAATTATGAGTAAGTAAAAAGCAGGAGCCTAATGAAGAAGTGCAACATCAAACCTGCAGCCAAAAAGAGATGTCCTCATGCCCGTAAATTCCGGCAAGGAAGTGATGTGATGTCAAGCAATGCCACGCTATCAAGGCGCAATCCGAAGAGCAACGCGGCTACAGCGCCCCACAGGCTCCCGCTGCCGATGGAGATGGCTTTCTGGAAAGCTGCTTGGATAAAAAGTTGACGACGTTTGTGAGAGTTGATTCACAAGAAAATCATCAAGAAACGTCAAAGTCTTTAAAGTAACAAGATGTAACAAGCATTAAGTGACAGGCATAGGCAGTGGCTGGTGTTACGGATGGAGTTTTTGGAAGGATCAGACACGTGTCAGTTCGGACATGTGGAGTCAAGATCAACGAATGCACTTTGAGGTTTGGCCAGATGGTTTGAAGACGAGACCAAGGATGAAGACGAAGAAGAGGCTGGACACAGTGAGACATTGCATGCGGAAACTGCACAGTATCCAAAATAACATCACCCCCTGCAATGCTAAAGGCACACACACACACAGGTTCTTTGATGATTGTATTTTGCGTTGCTTGCGAGCGTTTAATGTCATTTCTGCAATTTGCGAAGGAGGGGTGTTGATAATATGTGGTAACATACTATGATATTGTCTTGAAATGTCTTGAAAATCCAGCCCTACGTCATGACATTCATGGACTTCCCTTGAATTAGCCTTTGGACATCTTTGGATTATGGGTTCGTTGAGCGTCTCCATGGAGCACGGATGGTTGCAGCAGTTGCAGTTTGGCCCGCTGTCACCTCCAAAAACACCTTGTTAGGCTGAGAGCCACGAACTCAGCAAAGTCCGTGGAGTAGAGCCGAGCAGCAAAGAATGCACCGAAAATTGAATTGGAAGCATCCCAGCAAATTTCTCCGAGGCCAGCTTGCTTGTACGGACTTGTCACGTCACGTGTCACTCAGAAACATCGAAAGCGCTTCTTCCAATATTTTTTGGCAATGCCATGAACCCCCTTTCAGAAAGCCTTTCAGAATCTCATTTTGAAAGGATTTGAAAGGCCCTTTCTATCCGATTCTATCCCTTTCTCATTTTGACAGCCACGAAATCACGGGAATCCAAGGTGGTCGTCCGCAGGATGACTTGCTTTTCAGCTCCGCACCACCCTTTCCAGCACCAGGCGGGACAAGATGTCGAGGTGAAACAGGACCGCTTTTCACATTTTTCACAACGACCATTCAGTACACAAGCTCAAGATGGACCGGGCGTGATCCCCGTGTATCTGTGAACACCCATCCGATTCGAGGTGACAAGAACGGCGTGGAGGCGGGGCAAACACAGAAGGGTCTCATTTCGTGTTTCAGTTTGCAATTCATTTGTTTATGGATGTTTGTGGATGTTTGTTGAATTGCAGTTGCCACCTCAGTCCAAACAGTTGCAGAACAATTGAATAGTTCTTGATGGTTCATGGTCCTTCCGGGACCTTAAAATGCCTTGACCCGTGGACTGTGCCCTGAGAAGATGCAGGCTGCTGCTCAGTCGTTGCCTGTGGACGCTTCGGATCCTGGGGTCATTCACCAGCTGGTGCCCTGGTGGCGGATGGTGGAAGGGAATGCTTCGAAGCAAGGCCCACTATTGTACAGATTGGTAGAGTCATTAGAGCATTAATTCTGACTCTAACTCGTGGTGAAAATAGGAACATTTGTGGAAGGTCTTAAGATCTCAACAGAAGTTCAATAGGGTCAGACATTGAACATAAATGAATATTATATGAACGTATATCAAATATATCAAACCAGGTGTGAGTACAACATATGCATCCATGTCAGGTAAAGCAGTACGTTGCCCGCTCTGGCTTCGTGGAGTCCACAACTCGGAGCTCTCTTTGAATCTGTCACTGATGTCCGACATGATGATCTTTGATGTCCTTTGTACATTCTTCTACTGCATGAAAGTGGTGTGTTTTATAGAACGAGAGTTTGCACCATTGCACCATCCCAAGTTCACAACCTTCAAATGTGTCGTTTTCAATGACCTCACAAGATCCCCAGCCCTGGCAGCTAAGGGTCCTTGGCCATAGCGGGATTGCCAAGCTGCCACCGGAGAGTCTGCAAGGTTTGGCCAAGGTTGGGAACTCTAGAGACATGGTGCTGGAAGCCCCACACACCTTCACTGGAGTCTGGAGTTTCACAGTGGAACAGCTTCAGATGAAATGACAACATGGATTTTGAATGGTTTTTGAAGTTCTATGGAGAATTCAAATGAATTCAATGGACTTTTCACCATTGACTTTCAAGATGTCAAGAAATGCACAGCTGGAGCGTGGCGCTCTGAGGCTTTAGTGCAGCTTTCAAGACCCAGCAGATGGTTTGCCCAGGCGCTCGGATCCTGGGTATGTCCGGGCCCCCACGGGGAATTCCTAAAGTCGAGAATCAGACCATCCGGGTTGTCCCGTATACAATGTATGTCATGCATGTACGTATAGATAGATATGCATGACATATATGTATACTGTATATATATATAATTATATATATATAATATGTATATACACACACACTATGTATGCCATTGGAAGTTGATTCCTTCCCTGCAAAATGCACAGCTGTTGCTTTTTTTGACTTGGACCAGGCGTCATCTCCAGAGGAGCAGGCCCGGGGTCTTCGAATTTGGTGGAGGTTTGAATTTGGTTTGCTGATATAGTTATGTTTAGATTTAGATTTATTTATATAGTTATATTAAGTTATATTAGTTCTGTTGGTTTGAGCTTTCAAAGTGAATGTCGAGACATGGAACACACCCAATGATGGTAGCTGATCCTTGGAGCACTGACAGTGCTCTTGCCCAGGCACAAGGCAGTGGCGAATGGCATTACGTGGCAGATCCTGTCTTCTGCCAGGGCGCCCAATGATCAATGGACCCCCCGTTGTATCCCGTTGCGTACGCGCCGTAGAAGTGGCATGCAATGGCCATAGCTGTGGTTCTGAGGTTTGGAGCTGTTGACCAATATCACCTGTATGCCCAGCCCGTCCACAGGGTCCACATCGCTGCCGGGTGGCTCAAATCAGCTTTGTTTAAATTGAAAGTGAACATGTAAACAATTTGAGACAAGATGAACTTGGATGGCCTTGCACAACTCTCACAGTTCGGAGTTGCGAACTCACACCTTCTCTGGTGCATGTCCCTAACATGATGAAAGATTGAGTCATCATTGAGTCTGTGGTGGTGACAATGAGGTCACACATTTGGCCCTTGGTATCGACACACTTTGAGCGGCTCCTGCAGGAATCGCTACCTCCTTGCGCTTTTGGGGTCATTCTTCATTGGTTTTGCAAAGGGGAACCCAACTCAAAATACCTGACCATTTGCGCTATGCTGAACCAATAGTAGGATGTACCAGGAGCACGGAGCACCAAGCAGTGGAGTGTGATTCGCCCATTTGACCTTGGATTTTTTTTTTTTTGCGGAGCAGTGGCCGCGTGTGTCGGCTCGCAGTACGTCATTGCCGGCAACGGTGTGGCAGAAGCCCAATTCATCGAGCGTTTGATCGTGAACACCTTGAGGCTTGCACTTCACCACTTTTTCCATTTTACCACTTTCTGTTGAGAAGTCACCATTTTCTTGCATAGAATTCTGCCCAATTCCAATATCCGCTGCTGTCGTTCTAACTTGTTGCCGCAGCCGGGAAGCTTGTGTGGAATCATCCACCAGATGCACAGGCTTTGCATCCGATTGATCGGCAACAGCGAATTGGTTCCCACGCTCCTAATGTTGACTCAGCTGAAATCTCAGGTGATCAAGAATGGCACAGGATGCACATGAGATTTTGAGTCAAGAGCAGTTTCAAATTCAAAGTAGCGGCCATGGAAGTCGGAAGTCAGGTATTTAGGATCTAGTCAAAGGATGCCAAAGGTATTATCAAGCCGTTCCCCCCATCTAGTGGTCAGAGACCAGCCTCGAGTGGAGCTTGACCTTGACGATTTGTCACTGTTTCTGAGGTATTTGTCAAAATTGCCTGGCAAAATCTTCTCTGCCTACTCGGAAAGGAACGATCCGTATACTGAACATCAGCAGTTTGATTTCCAGAAGACCACTTGGCCTCTCGTGTTGTAGGGTGCTAGCGTAAACGTTCTGCTTTTCCAGTCGCATCCCAAAATCCAGCTGTCTTCATGGATTGACACTCGCACTGAACAGCCTTGTGAGTATCATGATGGGGAATCGCACAGTCCGGTGTGAGGATTGCTTGTGGCATTTTGGTGCTGGTGCAAGAGGCTACTCTCCCCCACAGCCAGAGCCAAAGACAGAGACAATCGTAATATCAGAGCAATGTAACGTTAACATACTTTAAACATGTTAACATACTGAACATACTTATAATGTAACATCATGTAACATCCTTATTAAAACATTCGAGGACATGATAAGACGACGTTCAGTCGCTGTCAGAGTCGACTGAGGTGGTTTGTGCAACATTTTTTCCTTGTGAACCTGGCTCGTTGCCCGCTGAAGCCCGCTGAAGCCTTGAAACCTCACTGGAAAACTCTACACTGAGATGCAAGTGAAAACACGACCCATGCAATCCCGATCCTTTGATCATGTGATCATCATGTGATCATCATGTGATCCTACACATATGATTTACGTCAAACCCAGCGGTCCAACTGTGGTGAAGTCTGCCAGGCTGCATCGCATCTCCGAGTTTCCAGCAGGTGGGACATGACTCACCAAGAGAAAATGGAACGGCTGTTTTCGATATTTTGCAATGACCTCTACAGCAAATCATATTCACTAAGCAGAAGCACATGCCAGTTGGTTTTAGGCAACTTAGGGCAGGTGAATGTGATTTTAGGTTCAACATCACCAAAAACTCTTGTGTTGCTGTGCGCCGCAGTTTGCTTTGATCCTCTTACACTTGCAAGGGAATGTAAAGACGCCTTTGGGGTCTTTAACGGACAGAAGAGTGGAGATTCCACAAAGTCAAACAAGCGCACAAGAAAACCTTAAATCTGAACGCCACAAGGCCACAAGAGGAGATAGCTTCTGAAAGCCAGTGGTTTGACATGTTTGACTCGGATTTCCATTTCCACCTGGACCATCCTGGACCTGCATTTGCAGCAAGGTGTTGGTGCGTGCAGTGCTGGCATCGAGTGTTTGAACTTTTGGCTCAGCGATGACCAGGAGTGTAGCTCTTGTGATGTGGTTTGCAGATGTTTCCAGTTGCAAAGCAGTTGCACAGATATGAAAAAATATGAAAAAATAATGGACAATCAAGAAAAGATCGTCACAGCTTGGCTGAGCTGTCCTCTCGCAATGAATTCTAGGAACTCTCGAGACTCTTGTCCCTGCAGCAGCTGCCAGAGCTTCTAAAAACACTCAAGGCGAGCAGAACTGGCAAATGACAGCTGGCGGAATGATCAATTTTGATTATAAGATATTATAACTATTATAACTAATTATAACGACTAAAAGTTATAGATTATAATCATGTTTTGACGATTTTTGACTTGTGCCGTTCAACGATTTGAATCAGCTCTAGCTGCGAGCTGCGGATCCTCCGGTGCCTCGGTGCCGTGACGGCCAGGCCTTTGCTCAGGGCAGCTCCGCCCCTGCGGCGCTGGGACATCTCTCGAGCTTGGTGCAGATGCTCAGACGCAGATGACGCAGATGACGCAGATGTGACAAGTTGAGTGTTGCATCGTGTTGCTGTATGTTGCTGTGCCAAGATATGCTACGAGGGATTCTGCTGTCCAGGGTTTGTCAGCTTTTGACCTTTGAGCCTTGGGACTTCTGCAGTACAACTAGGAGATACTTCCTGGTAGATTGCTGGCAGTGTTGGCTTGCTTTGACCAGCAACATTTCCGCTTGGAAACATCATAGCAGGCTTATAAAGATCTAAAATAAATACATTGCCACAACTGCAACAACCCAACAGCAACAAGCGCCTGAGGTCTTTTGAATTCAAACAGGGTTGGACGTAAAAACCAAGAGCCAAAACAACATCATGAGGTTCCACAGTTGGCTCGTGGTGCCCGCTGTTTGGCGCCAGAGGCTGTGTGCAATCCTGCGGAGCTGATACAAAATGCGTGGAAGAAAAATGCCACCTGAAACTTAAACCAGACACTTAATATGTTGTATCCTTTTGTATGGTTTTACTATGTTTCAAGCGAGTGGTTTATGCAGTCATTCAAGCAATGATGAGCAGGCCAACTTGCAGTGGCGATCCCTATGGGTTGGGGGACCTGTTAGTGGCTTGGGATCGTATGAATTCGTCTCATCTCAGTATGACCAACCGGGGAAATCGAGGTTGTCAGTTGACTCAGTAGATGCTATTTCAATCTATTTCAACTATTTCTAGATTGTCAACAACCAGCACATGGCAAAAGTACTCTGATGAGCCAGTGGTGACCAGGATTTCTCTAGGCACATGTAGGCCATACCTGCAACTCTGCTACAAACTTGGAGGCTTTCATAATCTTTCATACAATGACCTTGCTGCATCTTGCTGCCTCATGCGCCTCTTGTGCCATTCTCAGGTGCCAACACTGCAAGCACTTGCAGACATTGCCAAGGATGGCTCTCAGCGCTCTTCTGCGCAGGCTCTCAGATTTTGACTTTGGCATACTTTGATGCATGTCGACGCTTGATGAGCGCTTGAAGTTCCACCAGATTCCATCCCTCCATCCCATTGTGATCCATTGCACATGATATTGCTAAGTAGATATATATATATATATATGTAAATGTTGCATACTTTCGATTTGCACAAATCACAGCATGGGCATTTGAGCTTGTGCTTGTAACGAGGATAGATCCTGGTAGATCATGTAGATCCTAGTATCACAGGGCATAGCTGAAATTAACTTTGATTCGAAACTTGTCAGATGATAGGCCTTTGTTTATCTTCAGCGACTCCTGCTGGAATGCGGAACTGATTTAGCATTGCCATGGGTGGGGATCCCCAGAACAGTCGTATACAGAAAAGATCTTGGAATCTTGGGGTGCACTTCAGCTGCAATGTGCCATGAGTTTTTGATTAGTTTTTGCCATGTGCCAGGACTCGGTTGGCAATAAAAATGGCATAGCTGGCTTTGCCTTCGCTGAATTCTCCTTTCAGGAAGAGTTGGAGTTTGATGCGTGGAAGGAATGCCTGGAGCAGGCTCCGCCATACAGGATGAAGATGGATGAAGTAAGTGTCGACGGATGCAGACACCTTGCGTGCAGTGTGAGCGGAGTCTTTGTTGAATGATTCATGCTTAAAACTAAAAGGCTATAAGCGGACATTAGCGGTAAGGCTTTCTGCATTCGGAAAGGTTCGTCTGCCTTTGTGATCTTTATGTGGGTGCTATTCAGAACCTCGTAACCTCAAGGCTGGTCGTTGTGTCGTTGTGGCAGGTCCTGTTCCCACTGCTTCAAGCTCCTTCGAAAGGCCGGCACTTTGGGACCTGGAAGTTGAGTGAAGGACTCCATATCGATCCATATCGCTCCACCCCAAACTAAAAATATTTTTCTCTAAATCAGAAAGGTTCTTTTTCCTGCGACTGTGACCGTTCTTGAACTGATATAATATGATATAACCTATGAAGGACAATAGTCTGATTGCAGTTTTGATCTTCGAAATTCACCAAACACGGGTCGACAGAAACACTTGTTAGCAGGACAATTGTGGCATTGATTGACTGCTGCTAGTTGGTTGTTTTGAGCCCTGGGAATCAGTCAAAAGCTTTCGACTCGGAGGCGGCAACATTGCAGAGGAGCCACAGTGGATTTTCGCATGATTTTGAGTTCCTGATTTCGCAGAGCCTTTTTTTTTATAGTTTTTTTTTTAGTACATTTCTTAAGCGAAATCTTCATGTTGCTTCCCGAGCGATGACTTCACCGCAAGGATGTGGCTGCCCTGCGGCAGGCCAATGCTGCGCAACTCGTGTGCAGGGAAGCCCAGTGGGGCCCAGTGCTACAGATGACCTTCCCCCGCTCCCCGCATCATCCCATCCACCAAGATCAAGGAGACAAGCTTTCGATAGTCAACTTGTCATGTGATTCATGACGATTCCATTTGAATAACCATTTGAATAACCATTTCCCATAAGAACCACGGTCATTTGATACCTTATATAACTTATGACCATAATCATTGCTTGATATTGCTTGCATACTTCGCTGAATACTGGCCTTGAATTCTTGGATAATGAAGAATGCCAATTCAGGTTAGAACTGGGTGCCTTCATCGAGAGCAGTACCAGAAGCATGTCACCACCAAAATGTGCAGCAAATTTTGACCGAGGTCGGGTTTTGCTAACACATATGCCTGGGACCTGATGCGACTGTGGACCTTCCACAACTGTTGCGTCTTGAAGCGCCATCCAAATTCTGATCACAACGCCACGCTTTGGAGCAAGATCTTGAATTGTGGCTATGCCAGTACAATATGTACAATATGTACAATATGTACAATATGTACAATATGTACGATCAAGATCAATATGTACAATCAAGATCAAGCCTAGATCAAGCCTAAAGGCCCAGGATCGCCCAGGTGTACCAGTGAATGTGGCCGAATCTCAAATGTTGCGGCTTGGCTTGGCACGTGCTCAGGTCACAGTGGCTACGATCCTCGCCAGTTGGTGGCCCCGGATGCGAAGCGAAGACGCCGAAGACGTCTTAGACCTGATAGACATGCATGAGACATGCATGAGACATGCATGAGACCTGCACGGTCAGATGTCAGTAGAGTTGAGGTTGAGATGAACACCGTGGACACACATCATTTGTAATGTACGTTTTCATACGTTTTCTTCATTCTCGTACGACTCCTTTCCCCTGTTGTGGTCATAATTTGGAGCCTGGAGAATGGGAATCTTGTGTGAGGACGGATTTCCAGTACTCTTCTTGCGGCTTCTTCACATTTTGGTCAGCGAGGTACCATGGAACCGGGGAACCGGGGAGTGGCAGGATTTCCAGCGGGGATGAACTTCATCGGCAGGCCACTGTGGAGACTTCGCGGGAGCCACTTGTGGAGCCCAATGCTCAGGATGACCATGGGATGACCATGGGACAACGGGATTTGCCTGGCCTGGCAAGGTAGCAGTGAAGCAAAGTACCAATTTTGTCACGATGACAATGTCATTGCGGCACACCGCTACCGGAGAAACTAATATGTGTTCAATCCAGGTTCACTTTTTGGTAAATAAGATGGCAGAAATCGTTGAACGGCAGAACTTGTGCGCAGTGAGATCTGGCATCATCTGGCATCTGTATCATCTGTGTGTTTTGCCCAGAAAACCAATGCCGTCGCCGTGGTCGCCGTCCAGGTCGTTAAAGAATCTTCTGTTGGTGATCTCTGCAGTCGTGACCTCGGCAAAGGTGGCCAAAAAAAGATGCCGATCTTCCGACACAAAACGGAACGCAAATTCGTTGAGATGCCATGCATTGCCATGCTGTGGCGTGCTTGACTTGAGTGCGTTGAATGGAATAAAGTCATTTGATGTCATTTGTAATTAATCCAGATATGTACGATGTTTTCTTTAGAATCTTTGAATGTGTTGATCTGTTTTATTCAGAATTGATGAGAACGTAGGATTCTACGTTGTCCACTTCCTCGCAGACTTAGCAGCTAGTCTTCCGAGTCTTGTGCATGCCTGTGATTCCAAAGGACCCAGCCTTCGGGGAACTGTCATCACCTAGAGGCGAAGGAGAAACTCTCTTGGAGGCGGGCACCCCACCCCCAAAATCAAGAGTTTTTCCTTTTTTCCAACTCTCAAATTTTCAGCCTGGATGCGTTAGATCATTGTTAAGGCCAAGGCCACATAGTTCTTTAGAGAAACGGCTGTGCAGGCTGCGTGGGGTGTGGTCTCCCCATCACTTCCAGATTTGCGACGGGAGGCGCTAGGGGAAATTGACACTGTGACTTTGGCAGTGAAACGCGCACATTTGGTGTCGAATAGATGCAAACGAGAAACGGCATGAAGGTTGGTTAATTAAGGTCGACACATATTGACAGAATATGATAAAATATGATGGAATGGAATCGGACATGTTTGGCCCCAATTTTTCAACTGTTTTCATGCTGCCGTGAACTCGTCTCAGTGACTGGTCTCAGTTGCTGTTTGTTGCAGCTTCCGGGCAGGTAGCTGTGATCTTGGATCCAAGTGCAGTGGAACCAAGTGAGAGTCTTGGGCTTGAACGGCTGATGGAAAATGATGGAAAGATATCACGAAACTTCCGATGAATTTGCCACCTTGAAGTCACACCTAAATCACCTAGGTCCAACTGAGGAAGTGAAGATTCAGGGCTGAGCAGATCACGGCGCAAGCTCGCTTTGCTTATGGCTCCTTCAACATCCTTCAACTTTATCCAGAGTTTATCAGAGTTTATCAAGCTCCTTCATGTCAGAGTTGTTTCATTCTGTTGGAGTTCTCGGTTCGTCATCAATGTCTGATGCTTATTGAGGGTCCAGAACTAGCTCAAATGTATCCCACTCTGTCTGTTTACGCACATCAACCTGTCTTTGCTGTGCCTGGAATGTGCTTGCAAAAGAGCCTGCAACTAGCTCACAAGCTCAACCGCGCTCAGCAGAGAAAAACAATCGTGACAAGGGTAGACTCCTGGTAGACAGCAATATTTTGCTCTGGGCGGATCTCACCATTTTCTTGGATTGCTGAAATGGCCTGAGAACGCACTAGTGTCACCAGGTTGCTAAGAACAGCAGCGGGGCATTACACTTGTGAGATCTTGAGAGGAACGTTGAACAACTTAGAACAGGCATAGGTTTTACATGGTTTTACCAGCTGCTTGGTGCTGCCAGGAGACACTTCAACAGTCTGAAGTGTTCGACTACGGTGCAGGTGCCGGACCAATTTGTTGGACTCGAAATCCAAAGTTTCAAAGCTCACAAACTGTGCTGACGCAATGGATCAACTGGGATTGAATTCCTGAGATGACAGCCCTAGAATTTTGGATATGTTTTCCAGGCATGTGTATTGTACCAAATCTATCCAAATCTCTCTTACAGTTTACATTTTATAATATTCTATATCTTCTATTCACATCACATTTTTTTGTCAGATTTTTTCCAGCGTTGGGATCCGGAAACACGCGATCCCGTGGCATTGTTCTACCCAAGGCTTTGCAGCGGAAAAACATGGGACGGTGTCCACGGTGTCCGGTGTCGTCTGAGACTTGGCCGGGCTGCATGGCCGTTTAAACGGCCTCCGGTTTGGTCCTTGGCCTTCAATTCTCTACGGTGACCTCCTGGCTTGACGTCTAAGAAGGTAATGAACCTCAATGGAACTCTTAATGGATGTTGATTATAGATGATTATAGACATTTATCATTTATTAACACAAAGCTAATAGGAGATTCCCTGATAGAAATTCCCAGGGGTTGGGGGTACACTACAGTTTGTTCGGGAAGAAAGAGCATTGACGTTACCAACATAGTCACAAGAAACAACCTTTTCTTGGGATCAAAACCAGAGAATTGACGGCCAGGAGGAAGTGCAGTTTGCACCGAAATTCTGGCATGGACCACCCTAAATGCTCGTATTTCTGGTTGCAGACTTCCACTAAACCGATCAGACTTTCTTCAACCCAGGACAATCTGCACATGTGAGTCATTTTAACATATTTTAACATCTTTCAACGCGTGGATACGAAAGGTTTTTGGCAACTGGTTTGCGGCAAGTTGATGCACATCCAGATCATCACAAGGAGCAAACTGCAGATAAACTGCATGGAACCACACTGGGATCAACCATCTTGTGCATTGATTGAAGACAGGAAACTCCATGCCTTGTAACTGGTGTCTCCATGGCGCACAGGACCTTAATTTAATCACGGAGCCTTACCGCATAGCGGAACCATTTACATCCGTGCGAACCTGTGAGCATAGCGACACTTTGACCATGGCGAGGCAAGAGCTTGGCCGAAGACGAAGAGTTCTTTGAGAGAACACATTCTGCATGGCTAAAGCGAAGAAGTGAAGAACAGGTTACATGAATAGAAATTAAAAAGAACATGCTGGGTAATTTGGGTGTTTTTTTTTTTTTTTTTTCTGATGACTGTGGGCTTCTCCATCTCTTAAGATTCTTAAGACTCTTGAGGTAATGCTTTATCATCCCTTCCCTGTGTGTGACAAGTGAATGGCCTAACGAGTGGACACGGTAGCGCAGGCATCAGACTGCCAGCAACTCATAGATCTGAGAAAGCACCAAGGGAGGGGCATTCGAAAATCGGCAAAAGGCAGTTTTTTTTCTCATTCTCTCCTAGATCTCCTTGCAGTCCGCAATCCTAACTTTGACAGCGAGCAGACTGGTTTTGGGATGTGTAGGGTACAAGATGGTACAAACGTGTACAAACCGCATGCACTATAGACTGTAGTTGTTAACTCGTTTCATGCCTTCGATTCAATTCTTTTCATTTGCCAAGTCTTGGCCCTGGGAGTTTGTTGGAACCTTTTTATTGCCAATCAGCAATATAATCCCCCACGCCCACTGAAGCATCAAGCGACAGAGGGTGAAGATTTAAGGGTAAGACAGGGTAGAGGTACCTCTTCATGTTCCTTCATTCCTAAGTTCGTTCCTCATGAAAGTTTTTGTGCCATGGGGCGAACCCTTTGGACCATTTTGGACCCCTTTGTCAGTGACTTGTCATTGCTGACCCCTTTGAGGGCAACGAAGCGCTTCGCTCTTCGGCACCTTTGAAGTCGTACCGACCCTCGCCTATCAATGCCGATTATGTCTCAACCTGGCTCGTCCCTCCCCAAAGGTGACTTGCAAGAGGATCCATTGACAGAATTGGGTATGAATTGAAGTTAATTGGTTGTTTAACCATGTTTAAGCAGTAAAAAAAATGGGATTCACTGCAATAATTTCATGTATAAGTTATATAAGATGATTTAGTGGGATATTAATAGGCATTGATTAAACCATTTGAAGCATTTGCCGTTTGCAGATTCTTTTGTGGGAAACTCTTGGAGAGAAGACCACCCAGGTTGTTGAGATGGAGGAAGAACACAGTGTGCCAAGTCAAGGCCAACAGCACTAGAGTCACATAGAGTCACTAGAGCAACGAAATGGGTAGCAGATGGTAGCGGCATAGCTATGGCAGTTTCTACCAAGTCATACCGAGTCCTAAATTTCCTCTACGGCCTACGGCCTGGATAGCGCAAGTATCATTGTGGCTATGCATCTACAATATTTTACAATATCAATGCTTTTATTCTTCCAAGACATACTTCTATTGGGTCTATTGGAATGGGACGCGTACTTGTTCTGAACCGTTTTCAATATAAACTTTCAAGATTGTGTCAGTTGCATTGCCAGCTCTTTTGGGTGCCCAGATTTAAGGCTTCACACTTGAGCAACTGTTCTTGGCGGAGTTTCGGCCCCATTTGGGTCAAGACTTGTTCTTCCTTTCACCTCCTGCATAGAAGCTTGTCGCTGCTCTGGGCTGATTTTCGCGGCGAAGAGAACGGGCTTGCTGGGCCGTTGCGGATAGCTTCCGAGCAGTGATCTGATTCCATCCTTTTAGGCTTGAAATCAAGTTCAGCTTTCGATCATAGCCCCGGCCATTTGGAAATAAAGTCACGGCTGGACGCGGCATATCCCTCTAGCCCCTTTCCATCCGAACTATTTGCATGATTCAGATTCAGATTCATAGAGTGATCAAGTTTGATCAAGAAGTTCCACAAACACCCGTAGACATGGCAGGACCCCAAATTTCAAGTGTTTGAATGGGTGCCCTGAAGAAAATGACCTGAGAGGTCGCAAATGATAGCACAAACAGGACCAGATCAAAGTTTGATAAACGACAAGATAGCTTAATTATTGATAAACATCTGCTGATCACGGATCCAATCTGCCACGGCCCCGTGAGACTCGGGCGGCTTGGCGTTTTGCACAGGTCCGACATCTCAGCCAGCAAAGCTGGTTGCCATGCCAGTGCATCGAGGCATCGAATCGGAAGCCATCAGCAAAATCTTATCACTGTTGATCACTGATCTGCATTATGCCTGTTTCTGAGAAAGGTTCAATGTACATAATGTACGATGTGCAGTGGGAAACCAGTTGAATCATGTTGAATCATGTTGAATCCACATAGACGTGGCCAACTGTCCAACTCGCTGCACCTGGGCATGGCCAGACAAAAATCCGAGCGAAGCTTCCAAGTGACGTCGCTCAAAAAAATGTGGGCTCCAAGAGCGCCGCAGGTCCTAGCGGGGACGGTTCAAACGGAGGACAAATCATGACGAATCGGGATGAAATGCACCGAAAGTTGCTGACCAAATATATCCAAATATAAAATAACATAAATACATTGCTACACTATGCACACAATGCATCACATCGACATGAAACGATACGGAGCGTTTGTGGATTGGATAGGCATCGATCCATGGAGGTGCAGTGCGCAATTTCATTAAAGAGAGAAGGCATTTCATTAAAGTAGAAAGATGTAGAAAGATGTAGAAAGTGCAGAAAGCTAAGACCCGATAAGCTTCGGAAATGTTAGCAACACATAGCAAACACATAGCACAGCTTTGAGTCAAACCGTTGTCACGAACTTACAGCGACTCAAAGATCTTTGCGCTGCAGACTCCTTCGCAAACGAACCCTTCCGGCGCTCGCCTCTCTCGAATCAGGATGCACCGCAGCCCCACCGGATGAGTGTGAAGCCAGTCACACGCAGCCATGGCCATGTCATGCCACAAGTATCCACGAGTCATATGAAATGAATTGAAATGATCCTGGACATGTTGTTGTGATCAATCGCAGTTCCCGAAGTCTAGGCCAGTTTACTGCGGTTTTGTGGCTGAGCAGTTGCTGCAACAGAAATGTGCATCCGACTTAGATGAATCAAGGTGGTTGGAAATCGTCACGCAGTCAGGAAGGTTGCTATGAATTGAAGTCATTTTGGAGGGTGTCAATAAAGCATGAATCTCCACATTCTTGACTTTTCGCAGTAAACATCCTGGAAAATGGTTTTGAATGCTGTCATGACTATGATCCTTAAGAGTCAGAGGCTGGACAAATATCACTTGGAAGCATGACAATATGAGTATTAATGATGAATATATACAAATGATCAACAAACAACGAAACATTTAATTTGCTCATGCTCAACTCAGAGAACGATTGGCAGGTTTTGGATTCTGGTTTACTTCACTAAAGTATTGAATAGTATTGAAAGCTGTCCCAGGTTTCGAAAGCAATCACCTCACATGGTAACA